GATTGCTATATATATATATATATAAACTTAAATACAACGTAAGTTCTTTCTTAAATTTTGTTAATTGTTAAAATTGGTGTTAAATTTTCATGATCATCTTAAACTTTCGAATTTTGAAGGTTTCTTCAACCCAGTGAAAAGTATGTACATCTTTTTTAAACAAAATGTTGCTCATGTAACTTATGAACACACTCTCGCATGCGCACAAATAAATGAATAAATAAATATATATACATATATATGTGTGTGTGTTTGTATATATATATATATATATATATACACACANTATGTATTCAAGTGGAGCGCACATCAAAGACTTCAGTTTCCTAAAATATAACCAACCTTTCAACTGCCGACTTTCTTACGAATAATCTAATTTATAGTTATATTATACAATTATAGTGTAATTATATTATAAGTATTTAAAATGTTATATAAGAAAAATTGACTATATAGCAGCGGATAAAATTCTTATTCCAAGACAATATTCGATAAAAAATTTCTGAAATTTGAGAAACAAGTAAAAAAAACGGGTTAGGATATTCTTTGTGATATTTAGTCTGACGAGAATGAAGCACAAATGAATTAGAGAACTATACATCCTATTGTTACACAACTATAAACAAGATCCTCCCTCGATATCTGAAAATTAATAATTTTTTAATGTTTAGACACTGAGGAAGAACTGATGTTAGATCCGAAAGTATAGTGTGTTTATTTCTAAATACTAAAAGAAAACACAAATATTTTTCATTCTAAATAGAAAAAACTTCTTTGAAAAAAATGCGCTAAAAAGCAGCAGAAATTTCAGAAAAAAGTAGCAATAAAGAAAAAGAAAATGAGGGAAATAAAAATGAAAATATGACCACCGAAGCCGACGCCATCAGGGGCTACCGAGGCCGGTACCCCCTGAAGACACCGGCTTCGGTGGTCATATTTAAATTTTTATTTCCTTCATTTTCTTTTTCTTTATTTCTAAATATTATTGGTGCTTTATTCACAATTTGCTTTACTTCTGTTTACGAAACAAATTTACTTTATTTGTTTGACTGTTTTGCCTAAACTGTATTAATCATTTTTTTTTTTAAATTAGCCATGAATATTTTAAACAAATCTTCATTTCAATGAAACAGTTGGAATAAAAATACAGTAGATGCACATTAATGTAAATATTTTCCATTGCAAAAATGAAAAATTATTACAATTTTTAATTTAAGATTAAATTCATTGGTTAATCATCATTTTTACTCCTTTACCCTACATTTAAACTTTTGAAATCTGTACCATCTCATTAACAATTCGGAACAGGCCTATTGTCTTCGGACAATTCCAGATATATTAGAACAAACTTAAGATATAGAAAATCACTATTTTAAAACTTTTACTGCTGGTGCTATCAAAAATTATTCGTACACCTTATTCTCACAAAAGGTATTAATTCATTACTTTCATTTCGTCTTTACTGGGATTTTTCAAAATTCTATGCATTTCAACTGTATTCTTTCTTAAAAATTGCATTTGATGAATCATGAAACTACTTCTGATTGCACATTTCCTTTCCCTTTTCATTAGCTCTACACACTAATAGAATTTGCCATAAATCTATATATGCGAGTAAGAAAAAATTGTTATGGGGCTGATTTGTTTGTAATTTGAAAAGAATTTTTAATTTGAAAAGCGTAATTTAGTTTTGTTTATTAATGAAAACATTTAAAACTAAACAAAAATGTTTTTTTTTAATGAGAAAATGAATTTGCAACATATGTGTGTCATATGCTGCAACAAATGAGATGACAGGTTTAATAAATGCTTACGCTGAAATACAGTGAAGGAAACTGTGCTTATTTTTTTAAACAAGTACATAAAACTCATATTTTATGCACAGTGCGCAAAATAAGAAATGGACAACCCTGAATAACTTTTGATCTAATGTTCGGATTTTCGCATTCTATCACTTAATCTTAATGATTCGAAAGGGTGACTTTAAATATGGCAAATTAATGCGTGCAGGCCATATTTAAGTTACAAATTCAAACACAAAAACATGTTTTTTTTTGAATAAGGAAACTTTTTTTTTCAACGGATTTAGATTTGGCCATTTTTGCATAAAATTTATAAAAAAGTAGTTTTTGATAAAGTAAATTGTTTATTTTGAAAACTTGCATTCGAAATTTTTTTTAAATTACTGCTTTTGTTATTATTCTTGCTCCACTTAGACATTCTTAAATCCTTGCTTCCACGTAAGTATCATTCTTTAATCACATTTTTTAAATATCTTAGCATAAATATAATTTCCTCATGGAAAGGAAATACTTACCATTTAAAATACTCTTAAAATTTGTGTTTACTTTTCGAACGTACTCATAGCAAAATGCGTAGATATTATTCCACTCTTTAACTTTTACAATTACATCAGTTAGGGTTGGTTTAAAGAGAATGTTGCTATTAAACTCTTGTTAAATAAATAAATGTTAAATAGGTATATTCATGACTCTAGTCAGTTAAAGGTGACGTTTAAAAAAAAACAATTGCGAAATAACAACTAACCTGATGCAAAAATTAAAATACTTTAAAAAAAAATTAAAACAAAATTATTTCTAGTTAAATATCGCTTCATTTATACGGATTTATTACCATATATAACCCATAATATTAAAGATAATTCGCTGCATTACCTTTTTTAGGTTATTGTTTTTTGAAGAATTGCTTGAATTTTGTGATGAGTGAGCTTTCAAACAAAATATTTTTGAATATCTTTTCATGAATTTTCTAGAATGTACATAGAATTAGCTCCATATCATATGAACTGTTTACAGCGATTAATTAAGTATTATTTGTCTTAGAATGAATTTTTTAATAGAAGACTTTTAGAGCTGAGCCTTTTTTAACATGCCAAAGATTTATAGCAGTGTGGGTCCTAAAATTAAAAAGTACTAATATAGCTACGTTACGCATTAGAAAATGTATCTTATAATCGTTAGGGAACAAAAAAATTTTAATGTATTATTTAACATTTGCATAGTAATTATTAGTTTAAAAACAGATTAGTTTCGAAACAGATTCTTTTTAACTTATTTGATTTTGATCTTGCAGCAGCCTTGAATGCTTTCAATATATTTAATGGTAAGAATTGTGCGTATTTATTCATTTATTTTATATAACAGAGATATTTGATTGCTCTCTTAATTTTTATTTTTGTTTTAATATAAGAGTAATGTAAAATTATATTTACCCCTATTTTTACTTAATTATTTTTAAAAAAATAGTTTTTGAAATATTATTTTATCTAATCTAAAAGCTTAGCTTACAATTAGAAAATAAATTAGTTATAAATATTTACAAGTAATCCCGTTTAGAAAATATTTATTTTCAATGAATGTTACAATCAATCTTTATAAATAATTTTATTTGCAAAATTCCTTATTGATGATTGTAATGTAATTATCTGAACGATTATTATGAAACTTTTAGCAGAATAATTGTGGACTGTATTTAAAAATTGCAATAAAAATTCATAAGTATATATAAGAGTGCTTTGCTTCAAAAAGAAAATTTATTTAATGCTATTGCTATATTTTTATTCAGACAGTAGTTTTACGCTTGGTATAATAAGTTAATCTGTTATTTCTTTAATTATATTATATGTTTATAAAATATCTTAGAAAATCATGTCACTCATTTTTTCAGGAAATATTTCTGCTTCAAATGGTACGTGCTATAACAACTTATGTTAGATTTGCCGAACTATTATTATTTTACGTAATATTTTATTACGTAAATCAGAATAGACATAGAATAAGTCTCTGATTGATTGCAATTGTTAATAATCTATATAAAAGTACTAAGAATAGAGGCTCAAGAAATGTTTTTGCAATTTTAAAATTCTCATGCATGCACTCTACATATTTTGAGCACTACATAATAAAATATTGAGAAAAAAATATGGAACAAATTATATCAAATTAAACTAACAATCCATTTCTTCTTAATATCGAATTGAGATGAACATCTAATATATTTAAGGGAAAGTAAAGCTAAAATATGTAGAAGTAAAATTTTTCTTACCATTAACCATAATAAAAAACTTACAGAAAGCTTCATAGAATGAGTCTTATCTTAAAAGATTATTAAAAAGAGACAAATAAACATAATTTGATATACAGATTTAACCAATCATTCAAAAAAAAAACTTTATTATATTTTGGGAAATGTTTTCAAAGTTTGTGCATGGTTCATGGATATATTACATGCACCTTACTTATTTCATCCTGTCATTGTTGTGGTACTGTATTCTTCTCCACAGATAAACTAGTGTATCCTGAGTGTGTAGATTCGAATAATATGGATCTAGTATCCATACTGAAATAAAAAAGCTATAAATTCCTATTTGTCAGCTTTCATCTTAAAATTGCGATACGAAATCAAACAAAAACATTAATGAAGTAAAAGATCTTAAGAAAGTTATTGAGGTTTCGTAACTAGATTTACTTATTTAAAGATTTTAAGAGTGGTATTAAGGACAAACTTATTAAAATGCATTTTATTGCATTTATTACCGTAATACAACCTTATTACCGTAATACAAACTTATTAAATGCATTTTATTACCGTAAATAAAATAATCACAATTTTTCATGCTTTTTAAAGTTGCGAAAATTAATTGATAAACAGGATAAACTGCTTCCAGCGAAACTACATCTTTCAAATTATATTAGAAGTAATCGAAGATATTGAAACTGGCCATCTCTCCTTTTTGGTCATCTAACCTACACTTACCCTATATGTTACGTTATCATTACCCTTTGGTAATGATTTTGATGAAATTAACAGTAAAATATGGTTTTTAATATGTGACAAAATGTGATAAATGAGGGAAAATTTTTTAATTTTTTCATGATACTTTACAGCATGACATAAAAACTATTATTTCGATTACATTTACTTTTCTGTTTTGTATTCTTTACTAAACGCGTGGTAATAAGGATTATAATTTAGAGAACTTGATTTCACTGTGAATCGTTACAATATGAACGAAACAATTTATATTTATTTTTTTCATGCGTTTCTTTTTGTTTTCATAATTTTAATTTACTTTTTTCCCTTTCCGAAGGAATGAGCCTTAAATACGAGCTTTTCTCATCATATCAGTAGACATATAATTTTTACTGCCTTTACATTTCTATACCAATTTGGCAAATTTAGATTTTTCTTTTGTAGAAAATATGACAACCAGTGGTAAGTGACATTTTTCTTCATGACTTTTATATTATTTATGATATTTAAAAATAATTTATAATTGTTACTCTAAGCAAATCTTCAATATATAAAAATACTTATCATTATAATTCATATTTCATTGCTCGTACACATTCATACTTTAATATAACTTCGTGGTTTTAGAAATAGACCTACGTTATGAGTAGGAAACTTTACACACCATATTATGTTTTGCAATTTTTAGTGACATAATCTAGAATTTGTTGTATAATTTGTTCGAGGAGCTCCAGTGAACTAACAATTGTTTAAAAATCTTTTACTGTAATGTGAAAAATCGTATATTTGTAAAACTACATTGAGAAAAAATTTATGACCAAAACTCCCTGATTATAGTAAAATTTATCATGTTTTCTGGCTCAATGGAAACACCATAAAGCATGGTAATTTTTATCTTAGAGCTTTGGTAATAACTTGATAAAACTAACAATAAAATATAGTTTTATTTTTTGCAGCTCGTTCATAAATGGGGTAGAATTTCGTTATTTTACCTACCAGTTGGCAATTTTAACAGCATTAGTAAAATTTGAGATAACGCAATTATGTTCATTTTAGTAACTTCTATTTTATTTATTAAACGCTTGTAAACTTTATTTTTGGTCTGTTAGTTGTTTTCAGTTCTATGTTAACTATAAGCTTACCCCTACCAACATTTAACCTAATAAAGAATTCGTATTTGTAACATAACAAAAGAAGCCTCATTCTTCGAGAGGTATCACGTAACACTTTGTAGCGTGGAGAAAGCGGGTTCAAATCCCACCCTGAATCTATATTCGTGCTGTCCTTTTTTGAATTGTACTACCTGTCACTCTACATGACAAAGGCCTTTAAGACGTAACAATTCATTAATATATTCAATATATTCATATATAATAATATTCAAGTATGTTGTTACATATGGCTTTATTGGAAATATTGATCCATACACAATGTTACTTAAGCTTACCCCTACCAACATTTAACCTAATAAAGAATTCGTATTTGTAACATAACAAAAGAAGCCTCATTCCTCGAGAGGTATCACGTAACACTTTGTAGCGTGGAGAAAGCGGGTTCAAATCCCACCCTGAATCTATATTCGTGCTGTCCTCTTTTGAATTGTACTACCTGTCACTCTACATGACAAAGGCCTTTAAGACGTAACAATTCATTAATATATTCAATATATTCATATATAATAATATTCAAGTATGTTGTTACATATGGCTTTATTGGAAATATTGATCCACACACAATGTTACTTAAGCTTACCCCTACCAACATTTATCCTAATAAAGAATTCGTATTTGTAACTTAACAAAAGAAGCCTCATTCTTCGAGAGGTATCACGTAACACTTTGTAGCGTGGAGAAAGCGGGTTCAAATCCCACCCTGAATCTATATTCGTGCTGTCCTTTTTTGAATTGTACTACCTGTCACTCTATATGACAAAGGCCTTTAAGACGTAACAATTCATTCATATATTCAATATATTCATATATAATAATATTCAAGTATGTTGTTACATATGGCTTTATTGGAAATATTGATCCATACACTATGTTCAGCTTTAAGTGGACATATACAAGGAGTATTCAAATATAATAATAATTAATATATTCAAATGTTCTAAGTATGGAAATTAAATTACTTACGCTTTTATTAGCATTATGTTTTGCAAAATGTCGTTTTGTTGAGTTTAATTTGCTTGCGGCAATTTATTCTACTCTTCCTGAGAATTAATATTTTATAATGTTTCTATGTAGATGGATTAAATATTTTTGATCCTGGTAATTATTAATAATCTTATTCTGTTCGATAAATTTACTAAGGAGTTTTAAATTTAACAAACATCATTGTTTAACAAACTGATGATTCTTTGTAGACATTTACATTGACTGCATATTATAATTACATATTATTTATTATTTTTTAGTGATTTCATAATTTTGCTCTTAAAATAAAATATTGTGAAGCAATTTTTAAAATTTTTACTTCATTGTTATGCTTGAAGCAAACAATTATTATTTTTAAAAAAATATTATATATATATTTTATGAAATACTTTTGTACCAAAACCAAAACTAGTTTTTGCATTAAATTTGACATGCATTTTGTTTATAAGCATAAAATTTCTGTGTGTGATATTTTCTTAAAATCTCAACTTTATGGTAATACTTATTAAAAAAATATAAAACGTTCAACAATTCGACTATTATACCATTACACACACATATATGATAACTTTTATTTATTCATTTTATTTTGGTGGCGGAATATTTTTATTTAATAGAATTATAATTGTTTTAAACTTAATTAGTCATAGACAATGTTACGTTCTATGAATTAATAAAACAAATGAGAACAATAAACTTTCAAGATAAATTGGAAAATAATATTTAAAAAAAATATATTTAGCAATTTATTGCTTTTTGTATATTTCAGATTTTGGAAGTGAGTAGTTATTGGTTTTTACATATGCTTATATATATATATATATTTATTTAAATCAGTAGTATCTTGCAAGTACAATGCATAACTATAGGAGAAAGTTGTCTTACCCTATCTTTGTCACATTTAAATGTTTATGTAGATGATGAGCTACTGATTTCAGCGAGGTATTACGCAGAATCACATGTTTCTGACCATCTACGATTTTCAAGTGAAGTGACTATCGGGGGAAAATAATATGCGATTAAATCTTTGCTGAGAAAGTACTTTCTCCATGTATCAAATGCTCTACTCCCATGTTATCTATTATTAACACATTGAACACGTTATACACGCTTATACGTTATTAAAAACATTGAACTGTTTGATAAAGAAGATATTTTGTCAATATTAAAAGAAATCAGCATTTAGTTGCAATATTCATTTAGTGCCGCTAATTAATTTTAATTAAAACCATTCTGCAACTTTCTAATATTTTTCTAAACAAAGACTTTTGTAAATTTCTAATGCATGAAATGAATTTCGAACTTGTTTTTAATAAATATACTTGTTTTTAAAAGTCAAGTATTTCAAATCTCAATCCGAAATAATCGAACATTACTCTATATTTTGAAACATCTGTTTTACCAATCGAAAATTGTACATTAAAATGTAATTTATTTTAAATATTTTTTTATTTATGAAGGTTTAAACTCCTCTGGTAAGACAAATATTATACTAATTTATTCCTATTAAATTCTAGTTATTATTTTGCTATAAATAGTATTTTGAAGATAAAATAAGTATTATAATGAAATTAAAACATAAAATACAATATACGCATGATATTTTTTATTTTATAGAAATACACAGTTACTCAATAACAAACAGTAAGAATATTTTTTTCTATATACAAGTTCATTATCTAAATTAAGCGACATTTTGATATTATATAAAAAATCTAAGTTATATATATCTTCTAGAAATTCCATGAAAAGACAAAACTGATTTTTTTTCCAGCAATTTGTATAAAACCATACCATTTTGCAGAGCTGTTTGTTAAAAAATTAAGCAGTCTGCGTAAAAATATGGATGACAGATTATTAAATTGGTCTATACAAAGCAACTCCAAATATTGAAAAGATGCAGTGGAATTTTTTATTTGATTGGTTTTAGTTCTTTTTATATATTTGATTTGTTGTTTCCTTAACAGCCAATAAGAATAGTGAATAAATATTATTGAAGTAAATGTTAACTAGTGAAACATCCTGCAGTTATTGATTTTATTTGATTATGTCAAATCAAGAGTATTTTTAAAAAATGCTTTATCTCCAAGTGACGTATATTTTCTTACAGGAAATTTATAAGCAATAAAAAAACTTCTTATATATTTCAGGTACTTTTAATGAGAGTAAGTAATGATTCTTGTTATTCTGATTTTTGTAATGATTTAATGAACAGTTAAATTTTTACCTATACATTTTTCACGTGATCAGAGTTTTTTTAAAAACAAGGAATATCGCACTTGAAATTCACTTTGTTTTAAGCTGATACACGCATTTATTTATTTTTTAATAACGAAATTGGCAAAAATATATTCTATCGAAGTAAAGAATTCTATCGAAATCAATTTATGACAAATTGTTTCATAATCCTTATAAAAAGGAATCATATAAACTTATATTGGTTTCGTATTAATTTAAAGGATTAAAAAAATCAGAAAATTCGGAATCGAGCTCAGCTTAAACCTACAAACGATTTTAGGAATTGAAAAGCCAATTTTTTTTCCAATTTACAAATCAAAGGAGGATTTTTTAAATCATTTTGTGGTAATATACTTTTAATTATTTATTTTGATAATATATTTTGAAATATATATTTTAATTTCGATAATATATTGTATTTTTTTCTATTTTATATTTTTCGATAGTATTTATTTCTTGAAAATATATTTTTTAAACATAAAATATATAATAATTTCGATAACATATATATATTTTTTTTACTTTAAAAAATTTAATATATTTTTAACTTAATTTCTTATCGAAACAAATTTTCGTTAATGTATGCTAAATCTAATATCCTTTTTAAATCATTAATTTATTTTAATATTGATATATTTTTACATGGTTTTTATTCAACGATTTATAAGGGAATGTGTTGTACAAAACATGAAACCAATTAACTTATCTCTTTTTTTGCTATTCGTTTGAAATTTTAAATTGTTTATATTGATACACACGCGCTTTAAAGTTTATAAACATACTTTTAATATACTTAAGCGTATTTTCAACTTTATTAATAAATGTAATGTATACAATAATCATAAATTATTTAGCTAACGGAAATCCGAATTATGCTTTGATATTTTTCATTCAAAATTTTAAAAAATTGTTTTTAGTATTTAATTTTTCTGTTTTAATTTTAATAATTCCTGAAATATTAAGCGAAATGATGCTTAGTTTTTGCACCTCATTCATATCAGTAATCATATCATCAGCATAAACAGAAACAAAACAAAAAAAAACACTCAACGTCTAGCACAAATTTGTAGGATGATTTCTGTTTCTTATTCAAAGTTTGAAAAATTTATTTCTATATTCAACTTTCCCCACAAGTTTTATTGAGTTTTAAAAGTTTAATCTGTGCCTGTTTTTTTTATCTTTAGCTGTTAAGTATGGACCTGGTGAGTATTTGAAAATATATTATTATGTTCGTAATTATATATGGGGAGTAGAAACCCATAGTTATGTATACCCACAAAAATTTATTCTTTAACAAAACAAGCAATTCAAATTTTTTAAGTATTAAGTAACAGAAAAAGCATGAAGAAATTATAAATTCTTTTCATTAAAACTGTCTACGATGTACCTGATTTTTAAAAATAGCATTTTACTAAAATTTTATATTTTTTATTTAGTTTCTATTTTTGTTTCCTTAGCAAAAATAATTGGTTTTAATGCTTATTAACTTATAATAAGTAACTAAATTTAGCTATATTAATTGATATTTGCATTATTTTCATAGCTAAAATTTAGTATTGTAGGTTATCATTTCTTAATAAAATTTTTGAAATTTCAGGTTTTGTAAGAAGTAAGACATTTTTCACTTATTATGCAAATAATTTCAAGATTTTTATTTATATGAAATCTGATCTCGTAAAATAACACCATTTGGAAAATACTTCATTTTAAATTATACTGTGTGTATAAAAATTTGTTTTTGCCGCGCTTTTCATCCCTGTAAAATATGCAGTAGGTTTTAAAACTGTAATTAATCATAGTAACAGTGACTGAACAGTACCATATGTTTTCAATAATTATTTTATTTTTAAAATTTTTTTATTATGTTGTTTTATTATTTTTATAATTATTGCTTTGCTGGAATTAGTTAGTCTGTTCTTGGATTTTAAATTATAAAAATGAAAACTGTTTTAAATTAAAAATGTCATAGTTTCAGCATTCTCAGACTAAATTTCAGTGCAGATTATGAAATACATGTACTTCATGTGTATTGTTTGTCTCCAATTTTAAAAACATGAAAATTTAACTCTACCCAATGATTCACTCCTATAACGAAAGTTGTTCAAATGATTCACTGTAAAAAATGGATACTCAAATATCACGAAACTGAATTGACGAAACCTTTTCCTTGTATAAGCTCCAAGCGAAAATTTTGTCAAAGTGACGAAATAACTATCACGTCTTCGGAAACACAATTTTTGTCAAAATTAAAGAATTATTTCTTTATTCTATTACTCCCCCCACCAATAAAAAAACAAATAAAACTAAAGTGTCCAATGTATCTACCTTTTTTACCAAATATTTTAACTTGGGCACTATGTAAATGGCGCTACACACCATGGATAGATTGAACTAAGAGATGATTTACCCTAATTCCCGAAGAGAAATTTGAACCTCAGATTTTTCTGGTACGAGGCCAAATTCTTGACCACCACACATATGGTCGGCTTAAATCGCTACTTAATTTTTTATTGTATAATCTTTATTCTAGTTTCATCATTCTAGTTAACTTTTCCTCACAATGCACTATGATGAAATTTCGAATTGAGGATACTTTTTCGTCATACATTTGAGAATTTACGTTTCGTCATAAAACACGTCATTTTATGATGGAATGATTTTCAAAATTAGCTAAATACGGTTCAAGAAGTGCTGAATTACTAAAAGTGAGACTTTTATTTCTATTTCCCTTGATTTCTGCATTGTGTTCAAAATTACAAGACTACGGAGTTAAACATTAGCAATAGCTGACCCAAAATTGAGCTATAATATAAAATTATAATATAAAATACACACCGGTTATAATATAAAATAAAATAACAGATTCAGTTTGGATAAAAAAACTAGTTTTCTACTATTTATGTCTCGATAACTGAATAATACGATAACTGAATTTCCATTTTCTTTCAAGTTTTATTTTTCTTTAAAAAAAATCAAATAATATACCAGCTATTAGACTTATACTTAAATGAGTCCATGAAAATGCTATTTAACTTTTTGAACTTTTAGCGTTTAACTGCTTTTGAAACGTTAAAGGTTAAATTTTTCTTTTAATTTCGTTTTATTTTTCTTCTTCTTCAAATTACAGTGTGTTTTTAAAAACAGATTATTTATAACTCTTTTTATTTTAACTCTTTTTTCGCATGATCAATACTTCATCTGAATTTAAAATGCATATTTTTCTACACAGCAAGGGTTATACTTAGTAAGTATAAATTTCATTTTTAGCTGAAATATAATTGGTTGAGTTAATTTAAAATTTGTTTTTTTGCATATTTATTTAAGTTTATAAGCTTCAAAAACAAACGCTTATTAAAGTTATAAGCTATCTTTTCCTACGATTTCTTAGAATATGATGTATATAAATAATATTTCTACGATATCATTTTCTTAGAAGTTCAAAGTTCTATTGTTTTTTAAATTGCCCAAATTCAATATACTGCAAACCCGCATGTCTAGTATAATATTATACATTGCATATTGAATTAAAAGGATTTAGTAATTGGAATAAAGATAAAAAAGCTGATTAGAGGTCTTGCTTGTAGGATAAACAAGTACAATTACCGGAGATGTTTAGAAAAAGTTGTCGAAAAACATCTTTTAAAATAATTTTCCATTTTTTTGCAGAGCTTTTTGAATTACATTATATTATGGGAATGTACAAAATTTTCTTTGTGGCATAAAAAGTCGAATTTACATGCATTTTTTATGAAATGAATATTATGAACGTGTATTAAGTTTGTCCACAGACTTCACCATGTTCTGTCCCCAAATTTTGAAACTTTTATTTAAATAGAGTTTTGACTGTCATTTCTATTTTTTTTAATTGTTTTGCGATTAATTTTAAAATTTTCTGAGAATAAATTGTTTGCTTCTTCTAGATTGTGCTACTCATTTCTTCTTTTTGTTTGACTGACTTTTAAAGCTTATTAATGATTATTAATGTTTTTATTTATTTTTACACCCGGTAAAAACTAGATTGCATTAAAAACACTATCAAATACATTGAAACAATGAAATATTTTTAAGATAAACATTAATAATTAATATTAAATCTGGTATTAATAGCATAGTTACGCATAATAATTTTATAATTAATAATAAATATAAATGAAAAAAGGAAAGTCATTTTAGCAATATAAAATTTCAAGTGAAATTACTTAAATTATTAAACTACTTTTTTCTTTTAGATGCGCCAGTTGGATTATCAGCTTTTCCATTTTTTGGATAGATAGAAATAAAAGGTAATCAGTTTGGAAGAAAAATAACACTGGTACTTTTTTCAAGCGTCATTATATTTAGTATTTTTGCAGAAAACTTAAATTTGTTTTTAATTATATAGTTGATGAATAATATTTTTTTGATTGTTTTAATGCTTTTTGTGTAAATATTGCTTAGGTTTAGATTTTCTCATTCTACTTTATTATTCTATGTGTAACAGTTCTTTTAAGTAATAAATATCACTTAAAGATATAAAAAAATAAGAAGAAAAAAACACAATCAGTTCATAAAAAGTAGTATTTACGATTAAAAAAAATAATTCATTGTAAAAAAAATTCGTTCAGATTATACCTTTTCGTGATTTCTTAGCACAGTTCTTCCGTTGATATTTGGATACTATATGCAATTTTTTTTTCAGTTAACAAAAATAATAATTCTTACATAAAATCTAGTATCTGGTGATTCGTTTAAGGCAAATTTATTTAAACTACATCATAAATCGTAATTATTTTTAAAAACATTTTATAAAATGCGTGATCAGAATAAGGATAGTAGTCCTTAAAACTCTTAAGCAATATTATCACTCATTAAACTGTAAACTGTCGCTTTTTTTTCGAGTGCTTGTTGGTATAGCATGGAATATTGTTTTGGAGGTACGTATTTCATGCATTCTGAGAACGAGGGCAGCTCCTTTTATTCTTTGTAGTTTAAGGAAAGTAACGATATATGGTGGTATAGCTGGTGCTAAGGTATAGATGGTATCCTGGATCTTTTGAATAATGTAAAATGCTTTATATACTACCAAATTTACTTCTCCAGATCTATTTCTCAAGATCTATTTCTCAAAGACGCCTCACATATCCTCATTAGCACGAGTCATATTCCAAGTCTTACCTGCATACCGTAAAGTTGATGTTACCTCACTTAGACTCAGCAGATTCTTTGCTTTCCTTTGGATTATATTTGATTTTGTACATTTTCTAATTCCATTAAGTTAGATATTGACTTTCATTATTATTCTTTGGATATCTGTAGTAATGCCATTATTGTTGTTGATTTTAGAGACCGAGCGCGTTAAGCTATTTACAGGCTCAAATTTATATTCTCAGATTTCTATATCATATTCTTCTGATTAAGACTCAGATCTTAAGGGCTTCTTTTTCAAGAGAAATAGAAGTCCATTTCAATTCTTAAGGGGATCTCACAATAGAGTCCACATGTAAGCAAAAGCAAGCAATAATATTAATTCATTAAAGATGTTCCCTCTCGTATTGATGTCAGTCTCCAATTGCTTTTTCTAATACAAAATTGAAAAAGGACTTGTCGGACACATTTGTTTATTTAATTGAGATTATTTTGTATTTTGACACTAATTTTAGTTTTATTCAGTGCGATACATATTACTCCAAATATTTTTTTCAGGTATCTAATATTCTATCATAACTGTCATGAAAGCATTTCTATTCTATTGATTCACAAGTAGTTTTGAAGTTGACGGAAAGATGATGAGTGTCGAAGCTAAATTATTTTGTTTTTTTCCAATAACTGTAGAATGTAAAAAAATTGCTCTTTTGTGCACCTTCTCTTTCTTAATACTCTTAGACATTCTCCAAATGTATTTTCCACGAGTACATAATTTTTAATATTAGGACTGATTTTTTCATGTAAATAAGTTGCTGTAAAATATATAATTAAATATATAATTAAGTATAAAAGATATTCTTATGTATGAACTGAAACGAAATTTCTTATGTTATTTTGTTCATGTTTACATTTGAGAAAAATGAATTATTTAAAACTATATTAATGCATAATTTAAAAAATAAATTTTATTTTATTTTTTATAAATATAAACTTTATTTTTTATAGATATATATTTTTTATGTTTACTAAACGTATTTTTTCAGGTCTCTCAACTTCAGCTGCTTCATTTTATTTTGAGATCATGTAATATTTGAAAGTAGATTTATATTTCAAGATAGTTATCAAATAAAGTGTTTTTGCTGAGATGATTGTTTTATTTATTCCATTTGTGAAAGTGAAGAAATCATAACCGAAATATAAGGATATCGAAACCAAATATAAGTTAATAAATATATTTTTAATTCCTTCTTTATTACTAAGAAAATAAAGAATAAATTTAACAAAAAAACGGTGTTATATCTGACTATCACCTATGCTTTTTAATTATACGCCGTTGAAAAATTATCCCCAAGAAAAATTGGTCATTGCGGGTAATGTACTTTTAAAATTNTATTGTTACAATGTGTAACAGTATGTAATGATTGAATTTAAAAATTATTACGTATTACAAAATTCTAGAACTTATTTTGGTATTATGTAGATGTTTAATGACTTAAATTCTGTTCAGAATGTCAATGAAATTTAAAAGTGGAATTAAAAACCTAAGACATTTCACAAAATTATCTTGGCATTCATAATTATTCCTGAATTTAATATTTTGCTAGACCAAATCCTCTTGAGATGGGATTTTAAATAAGTCCCTTAATAAACATTAAAATGTAATAAACTATTAATTATACTATAAATATTAATGAATCAATACTTGAATTATTACCAAAAAATCTTTTTTATTAGTTTCTGTGCTCTACGAACAAAAATAGATCTGGCATTAAGGTTAATGCAGTATTTTTATCTACTGTGCAATAAAGATATCTAGAAATTTTAAATCTTTTAAATTCTGATGAAATAGTTAACTGAAAGTGATACTTGTTAATATGAAAATGATTCGTGCAATTTTTTTGTGATGTGATCAAGATTAAATTAAAAAAAAGAAGAAACAATATATAGTGCATTTCATAATTTTGATTACCTTTAATCACGATAACACCAATAATCAAAAGTATGATATGCTGCAATTCTGATTTTGAGTAGTTGACTATTTTAATCTATAAATGCAATCGATTAATTTTTTCCAACTCTGTTTATAGTCAGTACCCATTTATTTATTAAGACTGTTTCATCGACCGTTGAAATCCAATTATTATATCAAGCGTTTCCATTGTTCTCTGTTTCTTTTTATATTGCGTAATGTATAATAAAAATGCTATTTTCTAAAAAAATGTATTCTACAAACAGGTTTAAAAGTAGTAGTTTAATATTTAAGAGTTTTAGTGTTTAACTTGTCGTGATAGTTTTTGGATATTAAAACTAAAAGTTTTAAAAACTCCTCCGCGGAATTTCCCAGACTGTGGCGTGTGTGGCATTTTAGTCGTATTCTTGGCCATAGATTGCGCCACTGTAAAAAAAACAAGAAACGCGCCCTCTACCATAAAAATTTGCTTGATTTCAAGATGAATTGCTAGTATTTTCAAGGGACATACATAACAACAACTTCAACCAAATTTCCCTAGCTGCGCAACAGCATTTGATGCGTCGTTAAAAGTTTGTACTCATAGTTTAACATTGTGAACATGTATTTCAAGCTGTCATTTTTCGTTAACACGCATCTTGAGCTTTGTAAATTTTTGTAAACACTCTTTGTCAAATTTCGAGCTATTTTCAAAATTTAAAAGTACCCCGAAGAAAAGCGGTATTCAATTAAGTATCTAACGATTATTTTCTGTTTAAAATTTAAGAGGACATCACCTGCACTATTTAATATTTGTATCATGCCTTATGGGAGGTACTAATATTAAAAAAAAATCAATTTTTTTCAAATATTTGTAAAAAATTGAAAACAATATTAAAATTTAAAGCGCTATTAACATTTTTATTTTTCCTCAGTATAGTACAGTTGTCGCTCACTGCGTAAGTCAAAATCGATCATTAAAAAACTAAACCATGCATAATATGGTTTAATACACTTAATAAATGAAAATAATGCATGAAGATAATGTACGTAAAAATCATTAAGAATGCTATTTTCATATATCTTTACACCTGTCTTAACTCCTTAACAATCAGTTAATTTTCAAGAAAACGGTCATAAAAGTGCCTATTTCGCCAAATACACGTATTTGATTAGTGCTGGTATCTAGTCTAAAATAAACTAACTATTTACAATTACCTTAAAATTGTCCTGGTACTGATATCTGCTGCGCAAAATGAGAAATAAAATGTTTTCCGGGCAAAAGAAATGAATTAGTTTTATTCTTATAGGCGCATTACTACTGAACTCTCCAGTCCGGAAATATCACGGGAGCGAGAAATAACGAGCGAAACCTCTCCCCGTCATTTGCACGGGAGCGAGAAGGAAGGGGTTAACTAGATTTTTTTCTCTCGAAACTCCATGTTTTTACAGCAACAAGATTTAAAAATTTGTAAAAATGCTGTAACATGAAAACAAACATTCTGAAAATACCTCGAACAAATTAACGTCAGCCAATGAGAAATAGAGACAATGTTAAATGACATCAGTATACCGCGTTTAGTTGATGAAACCGTTAATTTCCTGTGTTCAAAAAATGTAATATGTTCATTGAGTTTGAAATCAATGAATAATTAAAGTACTTCTCATATATTTAAAATTAGCAATGTGAAGTATCCTTGGTATTTAGTTTGGTTGTGTTTCCATGATTAGTTTATTTTTTATGAGTTTTAAAAATTTGTTGTAATTTGTAGTTTTTTATCCTGCTTATAATGTAATTAATAAAAATTCTATTTTTATAATGCGACTACAATACATTCAAAGTTTTAAATAGAATAATATTACTCTCTGTTAGGCATCAAAATAATTTTTTTTTTAAAATTTCGGTGTCAAAAAATTTGCTTAAAACCAAATGTTTCTTTTTTGGAATATTGGCGTTGTAAGGGCTATATTTTTTGATTTCAAGCGATTCATTGAATTATGTTGCGTCATTTTTTCAATTTGTGTAATTACACTTATTCAAGATTAATAATGATTTTGAATGAAAAAAAAAAAGAAATGGGTTATTGTTTTTATGTGGTGGGGGAGTATTGTGAAGTAACTTCCACTATGATTATTAAACATCAATTCAGCAGTATATAAGACATGTTAAATCCATTCTATCGTGAGAGAAGTAATTAGCTTTTGATAAAATTTATATGATAAACAGTTATGAGCAATAATAAATAAAGTATAGTTGTACAAGCAACGATAATAACAAAAGTAGATTGTTATTATAGGTATATATACAAAATTAGAAGAATAATCAAAAAGAGAAATGAAAACATTAGTTTTAGTGTTCCTCGTTACTAGGAAATACTGGACTGGCAGCGTTGAGTTGTAATAGGCAAGCCACAACGCCTGTCACATGAAAGTTTTTAACAAATCTTTGGTACTCTCGTACCAGGATTTTCATTCAGTTTCTCTCTCCAAGCTGCAGTTTTTTCTTTTCTTAAACAGTCTATTTTTTGCCAAAATATAGAAGTTCAAAAAAGTTATATGTAACAGAGGGTCTCATAAATGTTGTAACAAATTTCAACTAAATATATTTGCATAGTAAATTTCAGTATAATTAATATTTGAATTGCCTCATAAACCACAAAAAAACCACTAGTAGAGTGTCATAAATACTCTACAAATCATTATAATTGAGCTCTAGTAGTACTCATTTTTTAATTTCAGAAACAGTAATCAGCTCAAAACTTATGACAATTTAAGCTTGAATACAACTCATGGGGACTTACATAGGGACAAAAACATGCGTTGTATTATGAACGTGAAATGCACGAAATTTCCTACAGCAGAAATATCTAAGAATAATAATGTGGTTAAGTATTTGCTTTTAGTTTGAATTGTAAATGAGCAAGTTAAATTAAAATATAACTTGTTTTACAAATCAAACGAAATCTGAATTAACTGGATTTAAATAAACAAATCATAAAATGTTCATAATTCTCATAATATAATATAATGAAACTAATATCCTAATAATATAATATAATAATACTATAATTATATATCTCATAAACAAAATTATCGTTTTTAAAAAAAAAAATCAGATTTTAAGGTAAAAACAACGATGGATGAGAGGACATTATGTTGGTTGATGAGGGAAGGGAGCTGGGAAGGGAGCTTCCTAGTTTGTTAAATTATCTAAAAGCTCCATAAATAGATTTTGCAGCTTATATTCGCGAGTTACGGAATATCTGAAATACTGAAAAAACATAAATCTAATTATGAGAAGTTAGTGGAGCATTAAAAGCATCATGAAAAATACCCTTATTCCTGGTTATAATAGTTGGATACTTAATAATTAAGTTGAGCAAACTCGTAAAATAGTATTATTTCGTTTAATAACATTAGGTCAGGCAATAAATTGTTATCTGAATTATGATTTATGTAACCAACTGTGACACGGTAATAAAAATTTTCAATTACAGTACGTTTCAAAAGGAATGTTTCAGTTTCTGAAACAAAAGACGCTTCTTATTTTATCAATCATCATTTCTATCAATTTCAATATTTATTAATTATTGTATTCACTTATAATAATTTATTATCACATTTATTCTCAAATAAGTGTTTAAAAAATATGAAATGATGTATTATCCATAATATTACAGTTTTAATAAACTAAAGCAGTAGCGAGACTATCAACTGAATTTAACACACAGTTTTAATAACAATTTTTGGGAGTAATGGCACATTTTGTTCTTTTCTTTTTTGTATTTAATGTGCTCTAACTCTGCTTCCAGAACCATCGACTCTATAATGCTTTTACAGTTTTTATAACATACTTAAATCAATTAGTAACTGAAGCTATGTTTGTTTATGAATTATATTTCTGAGAATTTTTTCTTCGTTATAGACTGTACAATCTCGATTGTATTTAATTTCTGACATTTTGCTGCCTCTCTAAATCAACCACTTTGTTTTGGCTAAGCATTTAGTTATTTTTAGTTTCAGGTATATCTTGTTGAAAGTTTCAGGTTTGGATGGATAACTTTTATTTAGTTATAGCCTAATTATTATTAATATTTTTGTATTGTTAGCTGTTCGTGAATCCTTCACTCCAAACATCCTTCATTTTAAGCAAGTGTTACCCTTTTTATAAATACTACTGTAACATTATAGATAATACATATTTTCCAACTTTTAAAATGTCTTTAATAATTTCTTTAAAAATTCTCTCTAAATAAAACATTCATTGATTTATACATGCAATAATGCCTCTTCACAAAACTCATATGTAAGAGAGAAAATTACCATTATTACGATAATTATTCTTCTCCAAATGCTGGAATAAGAATATCTCCATCAGAACCCATTATACACTACTGTACTTATTTTACCACGATAATTTCGCAAGAAATCGTTATTTTGAAAGTCAAAATTAATTTAAGAAAAGCACATATACTGTTTCTAAATTAAATACTGAGTCTTTAGATACTTCTTTTAACGTATTGCCTAAATCAGCTGAAACATATTTGCTACTAAGCTGATAAAATCATCCCTCAAAAAAATTGGCGCATAAAACTTTGATGAGTAACGAACCGTTATAAGACATTAACGGATGTTATTTCAAGTGTTCTTCAAACACGATTTAGTTTTAATGTGAAAACGGTGTCGCTTCCAGTAATAACCAAATTCAGATGCGTGTCATTGTTTATGAAATTTCTATAATTGTAAAAACAATTTAATCATGTCAGGAAATTGAACGCATTACCTGGTCATAAAAGAAAACTTTTGTGTTTAAATGTTTTTGCGCAATATCCAAGCCTTAACTGAATGTTTAGAATGAAATTTTTTTGTTGATTTTATTCAAATCAACTTAATTTACATTTCGATAAGCCCAGTAATGTCAATAACACAGTCGTTTTCTATCCTCACAGCAATAACTGGTACAAAATTTATAGAAATGTCTCAAATTATTCATCTGATATTTTGTTTAATGGTTGGAGTTTTAAGAAATTTGTGTATTACAGTTGGAGTTCTTGCAGCTTGTAAGTAACTTACAGTATGTTTTTCACTTCAGTTTCAGTAATATAGAAATATTTCCTAAATTTGACTTTAATCTGATTTAAATTACCTCTCCTAGATATATATGTTTTGCATAATTTGAATGAATTAAGTTCATTTAAATAATGAATTTTGTTAATTTTTACTAAATTTATTAATTTTATTTTTTAACATATTTGACATGAGAAGTGGATATGAAAATAGCGTTATACTTGAAGGTATTAACTTATTTAATATATACTTAAAGTTATTATTATTAATCAATCGAATTTTTCTCAAAGAATCACAATACATAATTACATACCTGACGTATAAGAAAATAAATATTTTAATAAAGAATAAAAGAAGATTAAAGAAAAGGTATAATAAAATAATAAAATAAAATGAAATAATAGAAATTGCTTTAATAAAGATTTATAAATAGTCTAAAGTATGCATTTAAATTGCTCTTAAGGGCACTTCATTACTATAATTTAATTAATTTAGGCTATTTTAATGAAATTTAAATTATTGAAGACTCAGTAAGCGATAAACTCAATGTTTGGTAGTTTGGTCAAGCTGCGTAAGAAGATTAAAAATTTTCTTACTAAAAAAGGCGAAATTAACACATTTATAAATTTGCTTTGGAGGTAATATTTTTAAAAATGAAAACTCTTTATTTTAGCAATTTGGACGTTTGGGATTCATTTTGGTAAGCATTTATTTTATCAGTGCTTGATATTGGGAGTCTTATAGCTACTAAAGCAGTTTAAGATTGTACCTTTAATATAAATTTAAATGCTTTGTATTTCAAAAAGTGAAACTTAAGAATAATACTATGTTATGATTCTCAAAATAATTCGCTCCAAGGAAATCTGTATTTACAAAAAAATAATCTTGCAATGAAATTTCGTTAAAATGCACTGATATCATTTTAGAATATATTAAGGAGAAAATATTATAATTAACTGCGTTTATTTTGTCTGAATAAATTCGCTTTTGTTGTTATTTTTGTTGTTTTCCTACTTGATCGGCAGTAACATCTAAATCAAGTCTATGAACTCATGCAAATTTGAATTAAGAAGAACTATTTCAGGATTGGAGAACAGTTGGCTCTTCTGTCGAACAATGTTGGTCAAAATATGAGCAGGGGCGACTAGAATAAGTCAAATTGCACTTTGATCCTCATATATGGTGTCGAACTCCTCGAAGGTGTCCACCACGAAACCTTGCAAGAGCCACCTATGCGCATCTTCTGTCTTCTCTAACAAGAGCAGTGCCAAGTTGCCTATTGCAATTATTCCGTTAAGGAACAAGGGACATTATCCAGAAAGACTTTTACCCGTGAAGCTATTTCCGAGAAAGTAATACATCCATCAACTATGGAATCTACACGATTGCCCTCCTTCATTAAGAAGAACTATTTCAGGATTGGAGAACAGTTGGCTCTTCTGTCTAACAATGTAGGTCAAAATATGAGCAGGAGCGACTAGAATAAGTCAAATTGCACTTTGATCCACCTATATGGTGTCGAACTCGAAGGCGTCCACCACGAAACCTTGCAAGAGCCACCTATGCACATCTTATGTCTTCTCTAACAAGAGCAGTGCCAAGTCGCCTACTGCAATTATTCCGTTAATGAACAACATCCGAGAAAGTAATGCATCCATCAATTATAGAATCTATAAGATTGCCCTTCTAAGATTGCCTAGTCCACCTGCAGTCTCATTACCACAAATATTCACGTGTAGATAGATTTTACTATCGCCGCTCAAGCATTTTAAATACCGGACAGTATTGAAATTCGATTCGTCACCCTGCTTTAGCCATTCAGACAAAAGCTGATTTGATCTTTGAATATCCAGATATCTATATTGACATGCGTCTGTTAATTTCACTTTATTCATTGAACTAGCTAATTATAATTTAAATTGAACCTATATATCTGTTAAATAAATTAAATTAATGGAATTAATTGATTTTTATGTTTTGGAATCACATTATGTAACCATTTAATTTATTATGAGAAAAAATAGCCAGTTAGTTTAAATTTTTTTTAAATTGTTGTAATCTTATTTTTACAAGAAAATAATTTTCACTAATGATGCGTTTGATTAATTATCTAATTAACTAATAAATATACTTATATTATTTTTTTAAGGTCCTGGCGTTGGTGTGGATGGTAATCAGGAACAATATTCTTTAAAATATTTTGAACATCATATATGGGCCAATATATTGCCCTGGAAACCTTATTAATGTTAATAAAAATTTTGGTAGATATGTAACGATTACAAATAAAAATTTTATCGATAAATATTTCATGTAACTTTTCATGGCACACATTTTAGATTCTTAAGCTACATTTATCATTCAAGATTCATCTTTAATTATTCCTCACACAATTGTTAATTATTTCAGAAATTATTTTTTTACTTATTGGGAGTAAATTAGTTTCTACTTTAAATCAAAACATCTTTTTTTCAAATTTTTTTACCAATCATGAAATTCAAAATGGAATCTATTTTTTACTTTAGTTAATATTAGCTTTCCTTCAAGAGAACATTATGTAATGAGTTCAATAACCGATAATGTAATTGTAACTTTTTAATTGAATACAATGAATTACGCTTTTTTTTTGTAACATATGTTATTCTAAAAATTTAATTTTTATGAACTCTTTACCTGTATTTTTGCTTGTTTTCTAGTTGAAGTTCTTTTTTCAGACCTGAATTTACTTTTCATCGATGCTTCTTTTTCAGGATCTTTAAGTTTGCTTCAACTAGGTAAATTGAAATATTTAAATTTTCCGTCATATTTAATGCATTCCAATATGCTTTCCTTGAGTTTGTGGTGCAAAAAAGGGTTATATGTATTCAGAGTAATATTTTCACAATACTATTAAATAACACTCAAATACATATCACAATCAGAAATCCACAGGACATTTTCTTTTCTACACAGAAAAAAAAATCAGATAAAATTACCGTGAAAAGTTCTGGGGCAAAATAAATCTGATATACTTTAATTTTTAAAGTAATATTTATTTAATCTCTGTGATTAAATAATTAATACTGTAGAAGTTACTGTATAAAATTTTAAGGTAAAATATATTTTACAGTAAAATAGATTTTACGGATACAGCACTCAGGAAGCTAGTGTTTTTTACCATAATTTTATTCGATGTATTTCACAGTGTTGTTAGGCGTGAATGCAATGCTGAATACTGAAAATTTGTGATTAATGATCTAGACTATTAAATAACACTCAGATACATATCACAATCAGAAATCCACAGGACAATTTTTTTTCTGCGCACTAAAAAGTTCAGAATGAAATTACAGTGAAAAGTTTTGGCACTCTGAGTATCACTACTTCTGACCGTGAAATCCCACTTCAGTCATTAAAATTTACAGGGCAAGATAAATCTGATATACTATAATGTTTAGAGTAATATTTAATAAGTATGAGCTTATTTACAGATCCATTCATTAATTTGGAAATCAAATTCATTTAAATATGAAATATACCAGATTCAAAAGAGCAGTCAGAAAGCATATATGTGTAGATATTATTTTAAAATAAAATTATGAAATCACAAATTAATTTGATACGTAGTTTGTATTAAAGGCAGTTAATGATTTTATGCGTCGTATCTCACTCTTATCTTATTTTCATTTGCTGGTTTAGGGAGTCTGCTTGGTGGAATAGGTAACATAAATTAGTTTTACATTATTGTTAGGTTAAAATTTTTATCAATGGAGAACTTTAATATTAATATTTTTAATTCACTTTTCAGGAAAATTTAACTCCTTCGATCAAGGTAATTTTCTACCTTTTAAATTAATTGTTAGAAATGTTTCAATCACAATTTCGGTGAGTTAAAAAGTAAGTAAAATTGTTCCTTTTTCTGCAGTTCAGAAATTTTTTTATAACTTAATTGAAATGGTAGTTCAAATAAAATAATTAATCGATTTTATTAAACTGTGATTGCTAAAAGGTATAATATTTACATTCATAAAAATGATTTAAAAATTTAATATACAGGGAATATTTTACATGATTTGGGTAAGTATATCATGTTTTAAACATAAAATTGCATTTTATGAAATAATTGTTTACCAGCTGTTCTGTTGAGAAATAGAAGTATAAGTAGCACACTCATCATGAAAATATTGACTGTAGGCAGAAACTGATTATTCAAACTATTAAAATTATCTTTCTGATTCATGTTAGTAAACGCCTCGAAGACTGGTCTCAATTCTTTCTTTTTTTTAGAAAAATGTATAATAAAATAAGAATAAGAAAACATAAATTAATCCATGTTTCTTACAATTTCTCAAGAGATGACTATTCTTTTTCTACATTGAACTTTATTACACTTTTTTAATCTTTGTTTGCACTGTTAATATATAATTTTCAAAATCCTTAGATGTTGGTAAATATTATTGTTTTCTGTGGCCTGCACAAATTTTATTTGTTTCAATATACTTTAAATTACTTTTTTTAAAATTAAAATTAAAGATTATTAAAAAAGAAAAATATATGTATTTAATAAAATTTCAAACACAATTAGCAATAAAAAGAAAATTAACAATGACATTCACAGAAACATGAAGTTTATGTCCTACATCTACAGGTGTAGGACATAATAAAAGGAACACCTGTGCATAGCGGTACTATGAACAGGTGTTCCTATTATTTTGTCCCATACCTGTATATAAGCTGTGTGTAATTTTGGTTTGCCAGAACAGAATTATGTTTTATCACCTAAATTTAGAAACTTATAGTAACAGTTAGTAAAGAAAACTAATTTCTCAAAGAATCTTTACTCATTTTTTACTCAGCTGGACATTAGAAGAAATTACATTTGTCTTCAAAAAATAGCATAGACAATTTTTGTGATAGTGATTAGTGAAAATGTAATAAACATGCCATCACATGATGAATGAATAGTAAATTAATTGACTCTACATCTTTAAAGTTTTTTAAAGCTTAAAGACCAAAATAATGAAAAATGTGTTCGGGAATAAAGGAAACTCGAAAGAAACTTGAGATTTATGATATGTATATGGACAGGGTGATTATAATTAAAGTTAAGATTGTAAAAATCTAAAACTTTAAAACTACTCGTCAAAATGACCTAGTATTTTAGCAGAACAATCGTAAGGCGATGAAATTATGCTTGGTCATGAAAAAAGTTCAAAAATTTGCCGATAGATGGCAGGGTTCTGTCAAAGAAAACACAAAAAATGGATTCGTTACACACAGAGATATTGTTAGCCAAAAGGAAACAATAGAGTTTAGGGGTTAACTAAAAATTTATTAGCGAAAAGACAAGAGTACGGGTTTACGGCAACAACAAAAGATAATGTCAAAAAAAGGAGAGAAAAAAGAATAAAAGAGTTACATGGAACAAACATCTTACTGATGATTAAGGCATAAGTTGTGTGATGTGCCCTACACCTTGTTCCGCTTCTGGGTGGAAGGGCACAACGGCATGCTTTACAACAGATCAGAGAGTATCTGTACTGATACAATGGATTGACTTCAAGTCAGTTAGATTTTCAATATGCTCTAAACATCAACATTCTTCAGGATCCATTGTTGGAAAATGACGGCTTATGATTCTATCATTTTCAAAATGAGCACTCAGCAGCTGCTTTTGGAGTAGAAATGTGATGAAGAGAGCCATCCTGCATGAATATTGTGCGATCCGCACATGTTTCTGAAGTGCTGGATGGATGGATATGGTTACCCAAAAGTGCTTCATACCACCTGTCAGTGAAAGGACCCGCAGGAATAATGGACCGACTAAAAACGCTGCCGTTATTCCGCACCACACAGTGACCTTTTCAGAGTGAAGAGGTGATGGCCGTAGCTGGAACAGAATCTCGGTTGCCGTATCTGCAATGTTGCGTAATTACAAAACCTTGCGATTGGAAGTAGGCTTCGTCAGAATGCATCATGGCCATTTGTTGTCAACTTCTATCCGGGCAATCAATCATACTGCAAAATATGCGAGAGCTTTCCGGTCAGCAGGTAGCAACTGCTGAACACGAGTTATCTTGTACGTGTAACAGCTCAAGATTTTCCTTAGGATTTTACCCACCATGATGATCGACATATCCAGCATTCCCCGTGCACTGATGATTTCAGCTCTCTTCCTCTACCCAGATCCTACCTGAATTATAGATTCCTCTACCCTGTTTCAGGACAAATGTAAAAGTCTCCTCGACTTTAGCAATAATTTTTTTGCAGATCATTTGTGGTTATTATACCCAATTTTATAGATTTTAATGTCCGAAATTTCTTTACAACTGTAAGTTCACACTCATCATTCCTATAAAAATGCTTCACTAACTAACATAACACTAACATTAACAAGTTCAAGAACATGTTAAAGCATAGCTTGCGATACATAGTGTTTAAAAATATAGTGTGAATGTATTTTTACGTGTATTTACATATTTCTGTCAAGTTCGTGCTTTTTGACAAGCTTTCATCCTAATTAAAGCATTCTCACTTATTTATTTTTCTTTTTGTAGGACAGATGAATGCGCCCAATTCCAATGAACAAAAATTTCATCTTCCAGGTAAAATTACACTTTATTTTATAATTCAGAAAACAATTTATGTTTGTTGATTTTGTTTATGAATATAGCAATAGAAAGAAAATACATATTTTAAAATTTTAAATCTAAATATCGGCAGAGTGTAAATTGATTGCAGATTTATTTTTGTTGAAAGCTGCAACTTCCGTAAAAATTCTCAAACCCGAATTTTGATTTTCTTTACAAAGAATAAATGAATATCTATACCCTTTTAAATTTTAAGCATGTTGAAATATAGAGGAAACAGTCCTTTCCTTTTATCTGCAACAACGGAACTTAATGTATTTGCAATTGCTATTTAAAATAAATTACTCTCTCCAAAAAGCAATATAATTAAAATAATATCAAAACATATTAAAATTATTCAATTAATATATTATCAAACACTGTAAACTTGTTATTTTTAATATAGATTTGAAGAAGATTATAGGTAACGTATCGCATGCTTTCAAGATAATTTTTTTCACAATTATAAGCTTATTGAGCTGTTTATTCTCTGTTAAAAATAAATAATTATGACACCTAACCAAATAAAGAACATGTTTCAGAGAAACACCATAGCAAAATTTTAATTTTTAAAAAGAAAAATCATACAATCATAAATTTTACCATATCATTATAAATTTGTAATTAATCATTATAATTAGATAATAAAGTTTTCACAAACAAAATTTATTTCAGTACACGGTTAAAATCAGAGAAAATGTGCTTAGGACATCTCGAAGACAGATGCTGGAACACTGTAACTTAACAAATTTTAGACATCGATTGAAAGCAGATCTAAAAGAAACAGAGGAATCACCATTAGTTGGTTTTTGTTACGTCATCAACAATAAAAATTCAAAATTATATCCATCTCTAATGTGCATCTCTTATACATGTGCCTGTTGGAATGTTTTGCATATTGAACTGAAAATAAAAAGTTACAGTCAAAAGTACCAGAATATGGTAAAATTTACCATATTTCTGGCTCTATGGAAACACCAAAGAGCTCAGTAATTTTTATAGAACCACTATGGCAACGAATTTGATAAAATTAGAAATTAAATATGGTTATTCAATCTATGAAAAAAATTGGTAAATGCAGTAAAATATGTTAGTTTTATCATGATACATTAAAGTGTGGCATAAAAGCCATTTTTTTGGTTAAGTTTAATTTTGAGTTTTGTGTTTTTTACTAAATGTGTAGTAATCAGAATATAATTTTGAAAACCAGAATTTACGGTAACCACACGAAAGTAAAAATTACCAAATAAATGGTACAAGGGAGCAATGAACTTATATTTTGGTTTTATCAACCAGAATTATATATTTTTTTACTGAGAATTTCATCAAAATACCGTTGGTTAGTTTTGCCAGAATTTTTTTCTCCGTATGGTGAACTAATCATGGGTTATATGGAAAGATACATTATAATTAAAAAACAGATAGTTAACGAAAATAGTCTCCATTACCTTAGACGAAATCTATTTGAAGTAAAATTATTACTAATTTATAATATTTTGTATTCAGTGTTTATTTGAGATATAATATTTTATCCTTACAATATTCCATTTAGGTATAGATTAAGATAATAATTTCATGATATTAGGCAAAGTACACTAATGAAAAAAAAATTTACACTTGATACATAATTTTATCTTCTCTTTTAGAAAATTTCAGCCACCCAATCAAGCAAGGTACGAAATATAATTAGTTAAAAAAAACAGTACAGGATATTATTCCCTGCATTTAGTTACAACATTTACGTAAGCATATAAAATGAAAGGGAATTTGCAATTTTAAATACTTTTTTTTACTAAAACTCTCTCACAATTCATCCAAGTGAAATTTAATGTTTCATCTAACAAAACTAATCATTTTAAGGAAAAAAACTTTTTTTTCCACATTCCAAAATATAAAATTTTTAGCTTTTCTATTACCATACTAAGGAACTTTAAAATATTTTTTTCTCCAAAATATAAGATTTTTTTAATCGTTATTCCAGTTATAATCTCTAGAATATAAATATGGATTGGTAAAACCTCATTCCTGTAAGGCAATTAAACTTTGAACGAACAGCAATTTTTTCACTTAGTACATAATCTAAGTTTTATCATCAATTCAAATTATGAATGTGAATCAAAAGTCTTTTCCTTAATGTTTATTAATACCAATTTCTTATCCCACGAATATGAAAGTATAAAGAAAAGTAGATTCTGTTTGCGTATCTCTTTACATTGAACCACTGAAACAATTAATAAAATCATCCAATTTATGTTCCTTAGATTACTGTTAAAATATAGACGTTTAATTACTGTTAAAATTAGAAAATACTGAAATATAGACGTTTTTCTAAGCATAAATGTGAATGATATGCAGACGTTTACATTTTGCAAATTTTTGAATCAAATATTTGTCTTAAATTTAGTCTCCAAACTTCTTTACGTTTTATTTTCGTATCTGATCAGATATCTTATAATCACGTGATTTTCGTCCAGAGACATTCATTAATGTGGTTTCATTTATTAAAAAAATTATAATGTTAAGTATAAAATCATAATAAAATGCAGTTTTCAAGTGAATGTATTGTTTATTTTAAAAGGAGTTGCTTTTCTCTGTATACATACCATTTCTTTAAAATAATACACAAAAGTTGGTAGCCTGTATAATTAGAAAGACATTCAAAAATTAATTATTAATTGAATTATAAATTTAAGAATATTTTTTTCATTGTTTTCGGGAGAAGTTTCTAAGTATGTATGATATAAATTGATAAATTTTCGAAACATAAAATTTTAACTTTTCAATGATTAATCAATTGACTAAATATATAGAAATACACTGTTAATGCACCTCTTTTCCATTGAATAACGTAGGGGGAACCATAGTAGTAACAAAATACTTTTATAAAGGAAAAAAAGAAGTTAAAAAGCAATAAAATACGTGCCTTATGCTTAAAGCTGTAAAAAAATTCTATTTTTAAGAAATAAAAACTAATTTAGCAAGATTTAATTATTCCTCAATCTATTATTTAAATTCTGAAGATTTTATTTTACATTATTTTACAAAATATAATATTTTTATTTTTCCTTCAATTTATTTATGCAAGGAAAGGTATTATTTTATAACAGAGGAAAAATATACAATTTTTATTTTACTCTTCTGGACGAAAAACAACGATCAACGAAACGAAATAGATATCAACGAAAACACTAATGAACTATTTTAAGAATGCTTAAGAAATCGGACAAAATTTTAAACTCAATAAAATTTAATTCTTTTGGATGAAAATGATTTCATTATGTAAGAGGTCAAACGAAATTGGGAAAGAAAGAGTAAGTTTTAAGTCAGAATATTTAGAAAAAACACAATTTCATGTTTTTCACTTCTTTTCTTTTAGAATTAAAACTTGGAAATATGAATGGCAGTGAGTATTATACATATATAAAGAAATAAACAAGAACTGCATTTAATTGGTAATCAAATAAATGAATAAAAATTTATTAAATAAAACTATTAATAAAAATCTGCTTAAAATTAATTTTCTTATCAATTAAAGTATTATGTAAAATAATTTTGAATTTTTTTAATTATAACCTATCAGATTTAGAAAAAACTCCACATTCTTTGTTCAAACATTTCAAATTTACATCAGAATAGGGAATTTAAACTACGTTTTTTTAAGGAATAAAAATATTTAAACTCATAATTAATTCTTAAGCATAATTTAAAAGCAATTCATAGTTCTAAAATTCAAAGGAACACTTCAATTAATTTACTTTAGGTTAACTGGAAAGTTATAACAGGTAGTGTCACCAAACATAGAAGGGATTAATTCACGTGGTATTACAGAAAATATTTTCAGTTATTTTTAGACGCAAAAGTTTGCGTGACATATTGCTTAAGCGAGCACCAATATCTTTAACAGTATAAGTACCAATTAGATTTGGAAATTAATCACGAAATTTTCTATACTTAAACAGACACACAATACGCTATTAATTTATAATTATGACATTATTTTTTAATTCTGAAACTCTGTTGGCTTAATTCTATAAATCACTAATGAATAATAATGTAAGTAATAATTTTCATTTAAGCTAGTTAAATTATAATTCATGTTTTTACTATTCCTATTTTTTACTATTAGAGAAAAAAACGCACTGTTTAATTGTATTATTAAAGAGTTAAAATTTAGTGTATGTAAAAACAATTATTGAACCATGTTTTGTTTAGGGAAAAGAAAATACATAAGTAAGATTGTTTTTAATTTTACTTTTTACCAATGATTGTTAAAGTTTGTTTAAGAGTTAGACAACAGCAGTCAATTTAAAAATGTGTATCACACTATTTTTCACGTTTTCTTTTTTTTTTTTGCTAGAAAATTTAATAGCTCTAAATCTCAATCAATAAAAAAAATTTGAATTAGAAAAATAGCTTACTCGTACTCAGAAGATTGCTTCGTTATTGAAACGCAATATTAGAATTTTGAGCTATAATACGGTACAAACTTGTTCTCCATCCATCATACGGTACAAACTCCATCGCGTGTGAGTTAATCTCATTTAAATAGTTTTCCCCTGAAAAGAATTTGCATTCTCAGATAAAATATTATCTTTGCATTTTGTTAAATATGTCAAGACTAGAACTCAAATGTCAAATTATCAAATCAGTCATTTTGATACTCAATTCATTAAAAAAAAATATAATAACGTTATTCAAGGAGATTCATGTGAAAAAGTTACAACTATACTATGTACTTTCTTTTCAGAAAAGAAAATAATTGTATGAAGAAATTTGGAATGATGAACCTTAAAAAAGGAAAAAAATATTGTAAGAGTGGCATTGTATTTAAGTTTAAACGTATCATGAATTAAAAAAAAGAGCTTCATGTTCTTTATACCAATACCTTAGTACTATCTGTAATAAAGGTATTTTATTTTTTGTCTGCCATATTATTTTAAGGTTGCATCAAAACATGGATGGCGTTTTATTTTGGGATTTTGTTAATTTTCAGATTTTTAATTGTATCTTTAACATTACCTTTATATCTGCAAATTGATGATGTCCAATAAACAGACAGACTTTTAATTAATATGGAGATTTCGCATTTTTGTGTTACACTCAGTAAGAGTTGACGTAATCGCGCAAGCGGTCATAATTTTGATTATAAAAATATCTAATTTGCGTGAATGAAAATAATGGATTTTGCAAAACCCTGCAACTTATAAAAGCTTATTTAATGGAACGTCTTCTTAACTGTGACAAAAAAATTAAAACAAACATTTACAATGGATGCGTCATTATAGAAGTAAAATTTTTCCCAACTAGATTGTGTAACTAATTACGTACGGGAGTGTGCGGAATCTAACGTAAATTTGCGAAATCTGCCGAATGTCTTACATAGAGAAAGAAAATCTCATCACTTAAAAGTCTATATTTTAAGATGATTTTCTTTTTGAATGCGAATTGGAAAAACTATTCAGTTGAATTTTAATTGATTATTAAAAAGAAAATTTTCTGTTATGAAATATAGTGATAGTACATTAAAATGACCGCAATTTTGAGTTCTGGTGATTATGTCTCCAGAGAGTGAAGTGTATTGTACCCTGGGACATGTTACAGGGTAACACTAATGCAAAAATTTGAATTTCGAAATTTTCATGAGCAAAATTTTAAATTTCAATATATCCTGCTAAAATCAAATATTTTCTAACCAGTTACAATTTAAACACATAAAATGTTACTTTCCATACGTATACTTTAGTTTACTGTATAATAATAATATTTTTTAAAATTTGCAATCTAATTACCCATTTTTTGCAGCGGGTAGGAAATAAAAAAGCAAATAACCAATAAATCGGTATTAATCAAGATAATGAAAGCATGCATGCACAAAACTAAAACACCTCTTTCGAAGCCCATAACAAGATTAAATATATTCAGTGACATTTATCAAGATGTAATTCCTCGTAGCCAACTCTTAAACCCCTCTGAGAATAGTAAAAAACTTTTACCACAGTACATACATTTGACTCCTGGAACCTATTTTAAATATCTAGATTAGTACATTTGATACCTATTTAAAAAGTACCTATTACCACTGTTGAAAAGTACTTACACCTTAGAGCCATTAGATTATGACCACCCTGTTAACTCAAAACTGCTACCATCCACCGTGGCATTGATTTCACAAGGTGCAGATAGGTAGTCTGAGGTATCTGGTACCAAGAGCTCCTCAACTGGTCCTGCTATTCCCTCACATTGCGAGGGGGTAGCGTGGCAGCACGAATTTGGTTTTCAAAGTAGAGCCACAAATGCTCTATTGGATTGAGGTCAGGTGAATTTGGGGGCCAAGACATGACTTGAAAGTCACTGGAATGTTCCTCCAACAATCCATGACGATTCGACCCTTATGACATGGTGCATTATCCTATTGGTAAGCATCATCTCCCGCAGGAAAAACTGTTACCATGAATGGGTAAACCTGGTCTGTAACTATGTTCAAGTAGCTTACAGACGTCAGGAATTGTTCTATGAGGATTATGGATCCTAATGTGCCCCATGAAAACATTGTTCCTGGGCGAGAAGCCATGAAAACCGGGGCGAGCCCATTGTTATAGATGGAGGATGGTCATAATGTAATGGCTCTTCTGTGTACATCCAAAATTAATTAAGCACCTTAGGCATTAATTATAGAAGGATAATATTTTCCAGCCATTCGAAACGATTAAGTATGTTTTTCCATTAATTTTGATTTTTTATTAAACAAGTTTTCATTTTATTTCAATTACAGTTGTTTTTAAATTGATTAATAAAAAAAACATTTCAAAAGCCCAAATGTAAACAAAATAAATACATGGCTTCAGACATGTCAAGAGAAACTATTTTGTTTCATTTTTCAAATATCTCTTATGAATCGAGCAGCTGAAAATGTTGCACGATTCCTTAGATCGGGGCTACAATTGCCCTTTCATCCGCTGTTTGAATTTCTGGACCCTAGCACAAACTGTTCCAGAGTTATAAGGAAGGACACATATTCATAGACGCACTTTTCCTCCTTTTTTTATTCTAGATTTAAAATATTCATATTATGACTTTGGCAGCAGCAAATTTGAATATCTATATTTCGGTACAATGAGTTATTTACCTTTTTTTTTCTCTCTAAGGCATTGCTTGTGTGTTAAAAGTTTTACTTAAAAAGCTCTCGAGACATTGTGAAATATGATAAAAGTTAAGGTTCAAACAATCAACCTCTATATTGTCTAAAGGATCTTTGTTTTGCGGTGATCTGATTTTATTTTTATGGTAACGAATTCAAATGTGCCTTAAAGAAGTATGATTATTTAGCGAATTACACGCTTTCGTGACTGATTTTTGCAACTTAACTATTAATTACCCATAATTATTTAGTTTACTTGTGATGTCAGAGATTCGAAACATTAAGAGTGTCTATAACTTGAGCAAAAAATCTAAACATTAAATATTTTTTTTCAAAGATATTTTTTTTTCACTTAGACTACAATGAAACACAATTCTGAATTTAGCATTAAAATAATTAGATGGTGGAAACACTAAAGAAATATGTTTTTATTATTGAATAAGTTAAGATTAAGTGAATATTGAATATTTTTGCAAACACTAAAATCGTGGTTAGAAAAAGATTTAGTAATTTCTTTTTTCATTATGCCTGCTTTTCTCCAAGAATGATGATATCTATAGCGTTCAACAAATGATATTCAAGACCCCTATATACAATTTATCACGATAAACTTCGGAGTACCGAACAGGATTTTGAATTTTTTTTTGTTCCCGTTGACTATTATATAGATTTATACACAATACAGTAACGTTTTGTTATTAATCCTCAAATGCCGAAGTAATTACCATTTGTTGGATGGACCAAAGTGAGACGTGCAGAAAAAGCATTGATGAGGTTCTAGAAAAAATTCCAAATGAAATTACTGTAAAATATGCCATCACTCAAGATGCTGGTACTTCTTACCGTAAAATCCATTTTTCGGAAAGTGTTATGGAACAAAGAATCTGATATACAGTAATTTTTACAGTAATAACTGCCGAAACACTCTAATTAAAGGAATATTACTGTAAAAATGAATGTATAATATTTTACGGTAAAGCAAATTTTAATGATGATCCCCCATCGTACAGGTTCTTTATACCGTAAATTGATCCTGAATTTTTTTACAGTGTCCTAACTGGTATTTAAGGCATACAAATACCAGCATTATGAAGTTCAGGGTTTGTAGTTTGAAGTAAAAAAGAAGATATGTTGTCCATTTCTTGGCAGAAATACGTTAATCTTGAAGTTCGATATTACTTTTCAATTGTGCACGATTTGTGGACTTACGCTTCCAAAGCTCCTTATGATTGATTCTAAAATACAAAATTTTATCCAATAACTGACACTGGATGCTAGACCTTTTACTATTTTAAAACTTTGGAAAAGCTAAGTACTATTGGAGGCTATTGATTGCGTTGTTCTTTGACTCAGAGCAACTCGCGGCAAAATTTATATTGCTCATAAAATTACTTATTATTGAAATGACATGACTTTAACGGAAAATAATACATTTGTTTTAATACAGTTTTGCCTATGTGATGAATTTTACATGCATTGTAGTAGCATTTGTGTGCCAATGAACAAATAAGACCCATCAGTAACCTCGTTAAATGTAGTTTATTGCGATGCAGAAAATACATAGGATTATTCAACAAGAAATGTGTCGTTTCATAAGAAATAGTAAAGAATAGTAAAAAAATAGCAAAAAATATGCTGAAATATCTTAAGAGTGCGAATGGAAAAAGTTTTTAAATATGCTAAAACACTTTAACATAGCGACAGGCAAGCAATTAAATTTGAAAATATGGTGCGGAAAGTCCAAACAAAGAACTCAGTTTGAAGAAATAATGCAATAAAATGATTATTGGAGCAATTTTTATTTTGTATGCTGAAAAATTAGAATGCGTTTTGAAAACATTACACGAAAAATGGGTATAACAGGAAAGAAAAGCAAAGAAATACGAAGATACTTTTTTGAAAATTTTCAGATATTTAATCTTATGCAATTTTAGAAATTTTCAGAACTATTCAAAAGGCAATTCAGAAAAGGATGATGGATATGTAAGTCAAGATGATGCAAACCATTTGAAAGCATCCGGTTCTAGAACTTCTCGTCATGCTTTCCAGAACACTGAAAACCAGACTAACACATGAAAGTAGAGGGAAAATACTACACATAAACGAGATTACCTTTGCTTAATTTTGCTCTTGCATATGACAGAACTGATGTATCGAGCATGACAGCTCTGATAATTGTCCCATCGGGACTTCAAGATAAAGGAATAAAATTAAAGGAATTGTATCTCAAGACACTCCAGGTAATGTCATTTACAAATACAAAGCAAGATGAAATGAAGATCAGAATTTCAGTTTGAATCTAAGATAAAGGAAATGAAATGATTAAAGCTCTTCCCAGATTGAATGTTAGTGTGGAAGTGTACTTTGATTAGTCGAGATTGCTATTTGGAACTACCAGCTACTTTAAATTTCAAGATTTAAATTAGGAATTGTGAGAAATAAATAAAGCAAATGGTTCAAAACTTAAGGTAAGAAAGTTCTTAAATCATTTAAGTTGTGAAAAAATGAGAGAGATTAAATCATGTGTGACCATATTAAGTTTTGTCAAAACATTTTGATGTGCGACTTAGGTAAAAAACTTCTTTTAAAAAGTAAAGCATAATAAATTACAGTTGCACAACTATCAGTTAAAATTGGACAGAGATTTCTAAATTCATAAACTGTAATGCAAGCAATTTTTTTAACGACATCGAAAATTTGAAAATACTCATATAAAAATACATAACTGTTACATTCCATAGACAGTGCATATCATGTCTTTGTCATGCTAACGTAAACGAATCTCGTTTATCATAGAGTTTTATTATATAAAAATATGATATTCAGCACCATATTCATTTTAACAAAGTCAATTTATTGTTGTAGACGTTTTTCCAATACACTGTCCTTGTTAGGTCAAATGTTATTTGAAAACATATGCATTTTTTATTTCAGTACATAGTTAACGAAATTCCTATCAATGAATTAGACCTCAAATTTGGCACATCGCGACCCTTGTGAGTAACTTGTTGTCACTGTACCAAACTTATAACTTTTATAATACAAACAATATAAAACTGTACTTCTGATTTGCTCAGAAAACGTACGAATTCTAAACATTTTCAATTTTATACATTAAGACTAATTGTTCGACCATAATTATGCAATGAAAAATAATATAGCAATGTTATTATATCATATTAGACTTTCTTCTCATGTAGAATACACCGAAGAGCCATTACATTATGACCACCCAGCTAATAAATATGTAGGAACACCTTTAGCCCTCAAAACTGCTAGCACTCGCCGTGGCATTGATTCCACAAGGTGCTGATAGGTAGTCTGAGGTATCTGGACCAAGTGCTCTCCAACTATTCCCGCAATTCCGTCACATTTGCGAGGGGGTAGCGTGGCAGCATGAATTTGGTTTTCCAAGTAGGACCACAAATGCTCTATTGGATTAAGGTCAGGTGAATTTGGGGACCAAGACATGACTTGAAAGTCACTGGAATGTTCCTCGACGATTCGACCCTTATGACATGGTGCATTATCCTGTTGGTAAACACCATCCCCCTCAGAAAAAACTGTTGCCATGAACGGGTGAACCTGGTCTGCAACTATGTTCAAGTAGTTTACAGACGTCAGGGATTGTTCTATGAGGATTATGGGTCCTAATGTGCTCCATGAAAACATTGTTCCTAGCTGAGAAGCCATGAAAGCCTGGGTGAGCCCATTGTTATAGATGGAGGGTGGTTATAATGTAATGGCTCTTCGGTGTATATGAGAGATTCCAGAGCAGACTTTTTGAAAAATAGTTCCTGAACTTTAATTCAAAAAAATGGATTTCACGCAATTTTTTCAACAACTACAATATTGTTTAACGTAAAGATACGTTCATATTTTATTTCAAAGAACTTAGATAATTACTACATTTCTAAATCGACTACTTTAACACAGAATTCTACTGTATAAAAAAATGGTTAACCTGGCTTTTCAGTAAAATTCTAAATATTCTTCTTATAACAAAGTGCTTCTCTCCCTATGACCCAATTTACAGATGTTTTCAGTTTCGATTTTCATAATTCTTCAAAAAATTGCAATTGGAACTTGAAATTTGAAATTGCTTGGAGCATTAGAAGGGTAAGGATGAATATCATTTGTATATTTTGCTTACTTCTTTTGAGTGAACAACTAATTTTTAACTGCTTCATATTCCACAGATGAATAAATGGTAACTGTCTATTTGACAACTATAGTGATTAGACTAATGTAAACCATTAAAAGAGGTTTTTTAAATTTTAGAGGTTTAGCAAATGTTCCTAATATTGTTTTTATTATTAAAATAGACATATGTACATGTTTTTCAATCGATTACGTTTCTTCACTTTTCAGCGCTTCAGTTATCTGAATTTAATAAGTTAATAATTATTAAAATGCATAATTATATATTTCTGAGCTTATCACATCGATTAAGAATTTCGTAGCACTGACTTAAATTTTCAAAAACCATACAAATCCACAGTACAAATAAGTATGAAAAAAATTCAATATAGCGACGTTTTCAACTTAAGCCTATTGTATTCGTTACACAGGAATTCGATCTAAAATAAATAAATAAAAAAGTATGTTAAAATATATTATTTCATGTTAAAGTACACGTTTCTGACGTTACTTACATTTTTTTTTATTATAAAGGCTGACGTCATAAAGATAAGAAGCACTTTTGACCACAATGTCATTTTCTCACCATAAAAGTAAATGACTATCAATACAAATATGAAGTGCACTTTAACTAGTTACAGTATTATTACTTAAATAAGTGATTAATGTTAATCGGTAATATCTTTAATGAAGATTGTTTTTTTAGAATCTGTTTTTTTAGCTGGATATTTCTTTTGAGATGGCAGAAAAAAGCATTTTTTTCTGTCCTTATGGGTTTTTTGATCAGATTAAGTAAGATTTTTAATATTTTTTGCTAGTATCTTTTGTATCAGCAATTTTTCCTTGACGGAGAACGTAAAAAGTTTTACTCTTTTAATAAGCTCTTAAAAAATAGCCAATTAAAAGTTGTTTTGATGGCGTTTCACTTCAAGTCGAACAAAAAGCAAAACGGGCACGACTATTTAGTTTAATTGTACTTAGCAATAAATTGCAACTTTTGCATCCAGAAGCAGCTTTTCAATTGGCTTTTAAAAATTTTTTCTAAACGTAGCAATGCTTTACCAGATAGTTACAATTTGTCTTTTTGCAACTGGTAAAAAAATATTTTGCGCACCTCAATATGAAAAGCTTTAATTTAAATTTAAATTTATAAATTTACTTGATATATATTACTATTTTGCAGAGACATTTGCTGCTGGTAAGTAGAATTTTTTAATTACAACAAAATGTAACATTTCATTCAGTTAACATGATTGTATGAAACAGTAAGTTTATATCATCAATATATTTGATTAATTTATTTGGCTGAAATGGTGATCATAAAAAAAACTATTGATTGTAGAAAAACTAATCATCATAGAAATTAAATGTACTTACGATGAAATATTTCTTACTAAACCATTAATATTCTAGCTGGTCAAATTAACTATCAATAACTTTTGGCTAGCTATCTTGATGCCATTATCTACTGCAACAAAATATTTTCGATTTTCTTCAGTTTTTAAAACTTTTCAAAAATAAAATAAAATTATTTTAGTGAAATTAAATGTCTTTACCAACCGTTGCATTTTAAATTCTTGAGTTTTAAGAATTTTCAAGCTTGATAGAGCTTTAACAAATGAGCAAATGATTTTTAATTAAATGATTGTGTTTCATCATTTACTGTTTTAAACAGCTAAAAAATTTTGGAGCTTCTGTTATATTTTTTGCAGTTTTTGCCATTTCTTTTCCTTAAGGATTCAATTTGAATATTGAAATAATTAAATAAACTATTTCATAATTAAATTTTAAATCTAATAATTAATTTTAGAAATACAATAAAATTTTTAATTATCTAAATATAATAAAACATTTTATCTTATTGAATCTAGATACTAAGCAATATTTTTTTTGAATGATTACAAAATGCTAAAAATATTTTGCCTTCTTTTTAAGCGAATGGTTTTAATACAACATTTGTTTATTGTTATTTTACTTTAAAGGAGCGTATGCTGTAGGTGAGTACAGCTTTTTAATAGAAATATATTAAATGGTTAATGAGAGTTACAAGTAACTTACAAGTAATATATTTTTAAATAAGAATTCAAAATATAATACACTTTAAGAACTGCTATGAATGTAACAATATCATTTATTTTGTTTCAGCAAATCCCCAATTTGGCTTCGGTAAAATCTTACAAAAATTATTTTCTAAAAAAAAGTGGTAGGAAAATTATAATTCGTATGTACAATAATGTTTTCGTTTTAGAAAAACAAGATATATTTTGTATTACTTTATGGAAATCATGCGTATTTATATTTTCATATTTGTTATAGTTATTAATGTATTTTATTATTATATGAATTTTTTTTGTGAATTTTTGCTTTGTATTTGGTAAAGAATATTCACATTCATCTAAAAATGTGTTTTCATTTTATTGATATATTAATATAAATATTGAATATGTGATTCTGTTTGTTGCAAGTATAACGAATATTTATGTAAACAAATCAACATTTAGTTTTAAATAATATTGACTAATTTTTACATGGAATAGTTCTAAATTATTCATACATGATCAATATTTCAAATTAAATAAATAATATACTTCAGTAGAAAGAAAATTTTGAAATTATTATCGAAATTTTACTGGAAATGTAGCTTGTACTAGAAAATTACATTGCAGTAAGATGCATTTATATTCTTGACAACAATGCACATTCCACTGACACTTCTTTAGGTTGAAAGTTTAGATTAATTTATATCTGTTCAGTACCTTTGTTCAGACACATAAGTTCAGGAAAAGTGCTTCGAATATTTGATAATTTTGATAATCTTTATATAATTATCAATAAATATTAATATATAAGTGAATATTTCATAATCTTTATCCTACAAGAGACTGTTTATATATATAAATATATATATATATATATATAGATAGATAGATCACGCAATCTCTGCGCTTCAGAACATGTATAAAGCCATAATTTGTTTATTAAGCGAAAAAAAAATAATAAATGCCTAGCGATCATTTGCTAATTTTGATTTCTTATCTGGAATCCACATTTAAAAATACATTTAAGATTTCAATATAATTTTTGTGTTTTTAATTTTTTTTAATATCTTTTAACACAGACATTTATGATTTTTTTTCTTAGGGGGAGCAGGAGCAAGAGCAGGAGTTGGAGTAGGTGGTTTTGATCCCTTTCAATTTGGTAATTATGTAATTTTGGATTTTTGAAAACTAATGAATGTTAATTATTTGAAACTAGAGATGAAATGAATCAGATTCATTTAATATCATCTATACTTTATTATTAAAATATATTTAATATTTTTATCGGATTATTCTTTTAACCCTAATGTACATTATGATTGTTTTAAGTATTTGACTAATGACGAAAATAATATAACAAAAAAAATTTTTTTTCACAGTTTTTATTTGATTGGTAATAATGTGAAGATATCGGACTTTGAGATTAAGAGAATGTACCCCAATGTTTTTAAATAAGATTTATGTTTATCTTAATAAGTTTATAATTACATTTAAGTGAAAACATATATTCGTTTTATATCGGTCACATTTTTGTACTATATTTGTAACAACTATTAAGAAATTGCTGAGCTGAATAAAATAATGCGCGAAAACGTAGAAATTATTTGCGAATAGTGGAATTGATAACTTCAACAATTTATTTCCAATTTAATGACATGCATAGATGCAGTTTTCCTTGCAATAGGAAACTTCATAAAAAAATATTTTTTTGACAAAATAACAGACTATCAAATGAAAAATATTTTAACATTTAGAGAATATATATTTCAATTAAAACTCCAAAATCGAATAAAACAATTCTATGTGTAACAAAAATTCGAACATTGTTGTAGAAGTAATTACCTTGCTTTACAAAACAAAAGACTCGAAAAAAAAATCAAAATCACGATTGTTGTTTTGAAAAAAAATGATTTTAAACTTGCAAATACATTTTACCTCCATTTGCAAAATATACTTGAATGAAAATGTTTTACAAAATATTTGCAGTCCAATCATGAAAGTTAAGGAGCACAATGTGTGAAAAATACAGTGTCGTGTAGTCCTTAAAGAAAAGTGTTTTAGTTATAGAGGTGTCATATCCTGATGAAATAAAAACTCATTTGCAAAGGTAAAATATAGTTTTTACAAGGGACTCTTTTTCAATGAATTAGGAAAAAGTTTGGTATACCTTATGAAATCTGTGGGTACATATAGAACTGGGGTTTCCAACTCACATGAGGCCGGGGGCCGCAATTAAAAGCACCCGTCAAATGGCGGGCCACAACGTTATCAAAATTTTATATAGGACTCTTTTATGTTTGAAGGAACATTAAATATTGCTGTCAGATTTTTATAAAAGTTTTATTTTATTATTAAAAAAAATACCAAGCATTACAATTAATGCTTGTTACGTATCATTTTGAATCTTCTCTTAATCTGAAACTTAGCGACAAGATTTTTTTTTACTTTCACATTTAATTCTGTGATAAATTAACATTTTTTCGACTTATTAGGAATTATAGCAACAACTAAAAAATTCTCGACTATCTGAAATTAATTTTTTTTCTTCTTTTCCGCTCATGCGATATTCAATTCAAGGAATTTAGATAAAACATGATATTCATTCCCTCTTTTATGCACTTTAAAATTTACAAAAGTAAATAATTTCGTCCAACATGAGTGGTTTCAAAAAGTTAAATTGGAGAATTTCTGTTAAGCACATGCTAAATTATATTCACAAAATAAAAAAAAAAATATGAAAAACGAAATAAAAAAAAGAGAGCAACTTACACGATTATTTTTGTATTTAAATAGATATTTTCTTGGATGCAAAACCTGAAAAATATTTTTTTTTGCACCGTTGGTATGTTAAATTTCACAGAAAACAAAAAAATTAGGTTTTTAAAAAAATTTTTTTAAAGTATTTTAAGCCCTTATAGATTTTTTTGCGAAAATTGTCCGCAATGAAAACTAATATATTTTAGTTCGTGGGCTACGAAAAAAGGCTTCGAGGACCGGATGCGGCCGGCGGGCCACCAGTTGGAAACCCCTGATATAGAAGATAATTTTATTTTTCATAACATGATGCTTCGAGAGTTATCTGCACATTTTTTTTAATTTTGTGATGCTATTATAGGTATTACCCATTTCTTAGCCTTAAGAATTTCTTTAATTTCGTAAATATATTTTTTAATCATTCTTAATCTTGTTTTAATTAAATTTAACAAATTCCTAATTTTTAACACATTTTATAAAAAGCGAAGATACATAATTTTATTCTTTATTTAACAATCATACAACGGTTAACTGTTTATTTCAACACAAGAGTGTATACCTCATTATTTCAATACCGCGAGTAATCGAGTATCAAAATCTATTTTTAACTCTATTTCTCTTTGAGCTACTATATTTCCCAAACCACAAAAATGTTTCGACTACATGAGGGTTAAATTCACTTTAACGACATTTTCGGTGATTAAACTGCAGCCAGATCATTCAAAATTTAATATTAATAACGCGGAGTTCACTTTACTTTTTGCTATATTATCTATCAACAACTCATCAAATTTCGAATTTTTTTTCTGAACTCTTAAGTTTCCGTTAGTAACTATTCATGCTCTGGTAATTAGAATTTCTTACCGTTAAGACTGGGGAGTGGCTCCTTAGTTTGGCTGCTAATAATTATTTAAAAGTTGTTTTTTAAAATGAATGCATAATCGAGTCTCACTAAAAGAAATGCTGCTTAATGTTTTATTTTGCTAATATGTGTTTTTCAAGTAACAAATGAGGCAATTTTTTTGAATACTCCATAATATAAAGACGAATTTCCTTGTTTGCAATTTTCCTCTTCAGTACAGACGCAATTTATAAAAAAAAAATGTTCCAGTGAAGCCAATTCTTCCATAATAATTGTTAAAAACCTGGTTTCCATTTTCAGAAAAAATTTGAAAACAAAAATGTACATACATTTTTGTTTTCAAATTTTTTCTGAGAAAAATACGAAAAAATAAATTTCAAAATATTAAATTGTAAACGTTGATTCTTATTTCATTATTATATTTTCCAAAAAAGAAAGTTAAAATTGTTNCGTTTAAATTTTTTTTAATATCTTTTAACACAGACATTTATGATTTTTTTTTCTTAGGGGGAGCAGGAGCAAGAGCAGGAGCAGGAGTTGGAGTAGGCGGTTTTGATCCTTTTCAATTTGGTAATTATGTAATTTTGGATTTTTTATAACTTGTTTGCAAGTTTCCTCTTCAGTACAGACGCAATTTATAAAAAAAAATGTTCAAGTGAAGCCAATTCTTTCATAATAATTGTTAAAAACCTGGTTTCCATTTTCAGAAAATTTTCACAAAACTTTACTCTAAAACAAAGAAAATCACTCGCATTTCTTCTGAAAACATTGTGAATATGAGAGGATTACCCTATTTGGCTTTAACTCTATTGGCTATTACTTTCTTTTGTCATATACTTAAAAGAAGTTAAGCAGCGAGATTCCATGATTTACTTAGCTTTTATAAATATCGCCATATTAAATTGGTTTCCAGAAAAAACATACACCGAAGCAGATAACTGTGATGACCAAGATTGGCAGAATGAAAAGTATAAGCTCCGATTCTCGATTTAAATTAAATGCTCTTACTAGGTCTGACAGAAAAGCTTTTCCATTTTTTTTTCAAAATGGCTGAAGATGTAATTAATGCAGAACAAAATAATACTGATTTTTCGATCGGCTGATTTATTGTATGACGAATTGATTCTTTACAAATCCATTTCCAGCAATTACTAGATATGCTTTTTACCTTTTCTTCTACAAATATTGTGAATATGATAGGGTTAATCTGGTTGGTTTTATCTGTATTGGCAATTACTTTCTTGGGTTAGACACTTAGGAGACGTTAAGGCGAGAAATTGTAATTGATAAAAAATAAGATCAAACTGATTTTTCTGCTTTCATTGATTAGATCGCGAATTGATTCGATACAAATTTATTGCTGGCTATTACTGGAGTTGTTATTTTCCCTCGGTAAACAGGTGCAAAATTGTACGATGCATACCTTGCTGGATCTCTTTTGCGACAAACTTGAAAAACTCTCATTACTACCTAATAAGTAAATTCTATATTTTAAAGTGAACAAAGTAAAGAAGGATACCCTAAAAAATTCTTAAAAAATAGGTAGCAATTTATGAAACATTAGTTGCATATACACCTATTTTTAATTCTTAGATCGAATGAAAATATTAAACCATTTCTTTCAAATTTTCGTTGTTAACATTATAAAATTCATTTATGAGCACTATGTGAAAAGATAATTTTTTTAATCGGTAAATACACTTGAACTAAAATTTTGTATTTTAGTTCCTTCCATTATAGAGCAAAAAGTGTTTCTTTCGTCATGTTTAATCATTCCTTAAAAGTGGTAAATTTTTCAACGCATCTTCAAGCTATTTTGTAATTTCTTATTTGTCATCTTGCTAGCAGCAACAGAAAAGAATTTTCAAAAGGAAAAGCATATTTTAAGGATAATTTAGTATGCTGTATCTGAAGTAGTATTTTTAATATTGAGTTTTACACTTTGAATTTTATTATTTTTTTAATAAAAATCTTTTTAATAATATTAATAAATTTTTTTTCAGTTCAAAACCAAATGGGTATGTATAATTTGCTTAAAATCCAAATATTTAATAAATAACATTTAATTATTTAATGCTTATTTAGGATTTTTTTGGCAATTTTTTTCTTTATTCTAATACTATCAATAAATTTAAGTAAGTTGTAGTTTAAATAGTAAATCGTTATCTTACTGCTAACATATAAAATTACTTCTGAACATTATTTTACTGTAATACAATCAGTAACAAGACTTCAGTTAAATACCTCATCTCCTTGCTCCGAATCAGGTCTCATCTAATAAAAGAATTTGAATTTCTTCCTTTAGACTATCTCTATTTTAGTGGGAGGAAAATTTTTTAATGTGAGAACAAAAGCTATCAATCTGGGATATTCTCTGAAATTAGATGAGCAAGAAAAGAAATCAGATATTGAATCGTCTTTAAAAATGTGTAGAGAGGGTGTTTGCATAGAAAGCAGTTTGGAAAGAAAGACACAATGCCTACAGAGAAATTGTGGTTACAAAAAGTTCACCATGGGATTTACCCAACAAATGAGTAAAGGCACTTTCCCATGAGCTTTGTTTTGTAAAGAACATATCATTTATAGTTCGGAAGAGAATTCTTATTGTTCCTAAAGATGTTGTAGTCAGTGGTTCAATAAGTACTTTTCTGTTATTCGACTACTTTTAGTAAAACCAATTTTTTTTTAAGTCAAAGTAGTGTGTGTTCGTGTGAAAACCATGCATAGCAAAAGACTGATGCCAAGACATAGCAAAACACAGGTAAAAGACAGACTACTCTCATTGGAGGAAAAAAGTACCAACTTCCAACCTTTAAGTTTTGATTTACTTTTCTTACATTTTGCATTCTATTACTCATCCGTTTAACGGGTATGCAAAGTGAGTCCAGAAAGTTACGTCTCTAAACTCATTTTGAAGCTTAATACGCATTCCAACACTCTCAGTCCAGTTTTAATTAGTAAAGAAGGCGGTCATTAAACGTGTAAGATTACTCCAGCGACAGTACTCGGGAAACTCATTTTCCTCTCAAGTTTGAGTCATTACGCAAGACACAGATTGCGATGAAGTTTTGTGTAAAACTCGGTAAAGATCGTAGCAGAAACTTTTTTCATCAGAAAGTCAGCCGGAAAGTCTATTGGGACAATAAGACATTTTTTAATCAGTCTTAAAAAGATCAGTCACTTTTTTTCTTACGAGTTAAAGAAGCTCGTGGTAGCAAATAATCAACGAAAATGTGACTTTTGTCAGTAAATTCTTGAATGCAGACCATTATTTGAGCATTCATTAAAGGACACAAACAATGAACATTCCAGAAAGTAATGGCCTGACATCCCGAACGATTGGAGTCTTAATCATGCGATGGACCTTGCCGCTACCGAATTCTTCGTGATTCGCTTTCTAACCAATTCAGAGGCCAACATTCTTCCGCTGGCCTAACGATCTGATGTTGCTCACCGATTCATTTTGTTCATGTATTTCAAAACTTTCATGAAAGGATGTGTTTTTTGGACAATTGACAACATCAAGAGATTTTGCTAAAACTCTTAAATAATATTTCGGAAAAAGTCAACCCTGATATCTTCATCACGTAGAAATCTCTTTGGAAAGGATTTATACAAATAAAGAGAACCAAATTAGGAAAGTTTTATACACCTTCCCGAACAGAATAATAATTGTTCTTAAATCACCTAAATGACATTAATTTGTGGGCACAGCATGTAAGTAAATCTGGAATTTTTTCATAAATATGCATAATAGAATGATCACATGAGCATTATAGCATGATAAAAAATGCGAGACAAATTAATTCACGAATAATTTCTTTTTCTAGGGCAATTTTTTCCAGGTATTATTCCTCTAATATTTATATTAATAGTCCTCTCATATTTATATGAATAGTTTTACATTGTATTATCCATTTATTAATCAGTTAAACACGTATTTCATTCGTAGAAAATAACTGGCATAACATGAATAATACAAATACTTTTTAAACTTAGACTGCAAAACACCTTTTAACAGCAGTTGGCTACTTGGTAAAGGAAGGAACGTGGTTTACTTTGTTTACATTGGAGCATAATGAATAAGAGATTGGCTATTGAAAAGGGAAAGCGAATAAATCATACATTCTATCTTATATTCTTCTAATATTCATAGATTCTAAAAATTTCAGCGGAAGAGTAGCATGTGAATTGCTAAGGGTGGTAATTTATATTAAATGTTTCAATTCTTAACATAACAGCTAAAAAATGCTAAGAACTTCGCTTTACACACACACACACACATATATATATATATATATATATATATCGATAAAATATATATGTGTTATGTGNAAAAGACCCACTAACTGGATATATCATTTATATTATCATTCATTATATTATCATTCATTATATTTTCATTTTTTGCTTTCGGGCAATCTTGTTATGAAAATATTTTAAATCATTTTTTAAAAAATTCCCGTTCATGTAAGTTCGTTTGAATTCGCTGCTCAATTTTCTGATTTCATTTCATGTGTTATTCTGTTTTTTTTTTTTTTTTTATATTTTATTTTCGATTTTTATGTGATATTTTTACTTATTGTGTTCAATTTTATTTGTTGTTATTTTTTTGTCAATTTTTTTGAGTGCTCCTCACGCTATTGTATTGATGTATTTTGCTTTGGCTATATTGATACAATATTAGGAAGCACTCTTTTTTGTTGACGTAATCGTGTGAGCTGATGAAAAGATTACATCTTTCATTTTCCGGATTTTTAAAAAAAAAAATTTTCCTTTTTTTGCGGATTGATTTTTTTCCCTGTTTCTTTTTATTTTTATGATTCTTTTTCTTTTACTTTTTCCCCTTCTTTCACTGTTCTGTAATTTTTCCCCTGCTTTCTCTACATTTTGAACTTATATATTATTAAAATTATTAAAATTCTTTTTTTAGGACGCTTCAATCCAGGTATTATTTCTTTAATATTTAAGCACGATGTATCCGTTGATGTAATGTCACTGAGTAGATTAAAAAGCAAATCGACACAAAGCATTGCAGGATAAGTACACTATATTAAAAATTTTTGTTTTAAAAACCAGTTCCCCCTGCCTCTATAAATTAGTTCTAGTGATATTTCCAGGCAGTGAAGGGGATCAAAGATGGTGGAGTGACTAGGCCTGTTGCATGTTGCCTATTTTTTACTCGACTCAGTGACGCTACTCTTCGGGCACTCGAATTAAATATAATCTTGTATTTTTTATTTGGTCGTGAAACATAGCGCAATCTTCGAGAATCAAATAAAAATTGTAATGCATATTTTTTTAATTTAGGGCAGTTTAATCCAGGTATTATTAATCTACTATTTCTATTTAATTCTTTTTATTGTTATCTATTTGGCTGTTATATTTTTATTAGCCGTTTACATACTAATGATACAATAATGGAACATGAATTTGAGTTTGAATTTAATGCTCAAATTTTTTAACCTAGATTTGAAACTTTCTTTATGAATTACCTTTTCTTCCTGTTTTATAACGTTTTCATTGTTAGTTTCTTTTTGTTTTTAGAAATATTAGATATTTGATATATTTTGTAAATATTTCCTTCCTTTGTAATTTTAATTTACCAAAAAATCTATTTTTTATGAGACGATTACAATATTTGCAAAGTTTTAAAAGGATAATACTACAGTTTGTAAGGCATCAAATTCAAATATTTTATTTCAAAATGTTTAAGTTAAAATAATAGTTTCGAACCAATTGATAATTTTTTTGAATATTGGTGTTCTATAGGCTCAAGTTATAGATATCCTGTAATTTATTGAGTTCTGCTGTATGCATTTCATTCAATTGAAATCATGACACTTATTCAGGAAAATATTGATTTTCAAATAGAAAGGGGATGTCTAGCGTTAACTTCTTTTGAAATTACAGGTGGCTAATAACAGAGGGATTGTGGCAGAGTCTATCGCATACTTAAAACTTATAAAAAATTTATAAAAAAATATGCAGTCATCGATAATCAGTATTTTTGAATTTGGTTCAAATTTTAACTATTGGAAAAGAAACATTTATTGATAAAGTGTTGGCTGTCAGAGAATGTTATATTTTTTCATGTTTGTTAACATATAATTGAAATTTGAATATGAATCGTGCTTGTATTGATGTGTTTTATAAACTATTCCTGGAGAATGTGTAGAATATCTCGCCAATCTGTGATCACTTAAAGCTTAACCAAAAGTTTAAACTTTTAATAAATTTTCTGAAATCATATTTTACAATTTTTTGAGCTTGTAAGTGCATACTATCCTATAGAGCAGTGGTCCCCAACCCCCGGTCCGCGGACCGGTACCGGTCCGTGGATCAAATGGTACCGGTCCGCCCATTTCATTGAAACTGAATTTAAATTTCTAGGTTTATACCCCAAATTAAAAATATCTGTGTTCCATTAAAATTTTATTTATTTAAAAAAAAATATGCTCCCGTAGGTAGTAACATAATTTTTTTTAATGTTTTAAAAAGTAAAAAAAAAAGAAATCTTCTGCAACTATTTTCTCATTCAATTAGTTTTAATAAAAAAAAAAAAACAATCATCGTAACTGTAAATATCATAAATAAAAAACGAAAGCGCGACGCGACATTTGCATTGGAACTAATAAAGAACTTCGTCTTCTCTCTCGATTCTGACGCCTCACACAGCGAGGGTGTATAGTAAGGCTATAAAAGAGAAGCTGGCTCGTCTGCCATTTAGTCGCCCAAAGACCACGTGACCATGATTCCTCTCTACTGTTTTGTGTGCTTTATGCGGATTTGTTTGTTTTTTGTAAAAAGAAAGTGTCTATCACTCCTCTCTCTGTTCACCGGTACTTTCTCAGGTTTAACAGTGCTTGGGGTACGTGTGTATTGTGTTTGCACAAATTTAGCTCACAAGTTAGCAATCATGAGTACAAAACAAACGTCCTTAGAAAGTTTCCTTGGAAAAAAGAAAAGGCTCAGTGAAGAGACCGAAGAGCCTTCAACATCAAAGAAACATGCAACTTTTAACAGACATTACCAAGAGCCCTACTTGAAGTATGGTTTTGTCGGGACAGGCGATTCACACAAACCAAAACCGCTCTGCATAGTTTGCGGCGATCAACTCTCTAATGACGCTATGAAACCTTCAAAACTGCTTCGCCACTTAAACGCCAAACATCCTGGATTAAAAGACAAGCCCCTGGAGTATTTTGAAAGAAAAAAACGGGAACACGAAGGACAGAAAAAATTTATGATGGCCACCACATCAATAAAGGAGAGTGCACTAAGAGCATCATATTTGGTGGCTAACCGCATTGCTAAAGCTAAAAAGCCATTCAATATTGGTGAAGAATTAATCTTGCCCGCCACTAAAGACATTTGCCGTGAAATACTAGGAGAAGCTGCTGTAGAAAAGATAGCACATGTGGCTTTGTCGGCTAGCACTGTGACTAGGCGCATTGAGGAAATAGCCGAAGACATTGAAGAGCAATTGTTGGAGAGGATTAATGCATCACCGTGGTACGCACTCCAGGTTGACGAATCTACAGATATTGACAGCAAGGCAGTACTACTTGTTTATGTGCGATATCTATATCAGGAAGATGTGCATGAAGATTTGTTATGTGCACTATCTTTGCCAACCAACACCACAGGAGCAGAAGTGTTCAAGTCACTGGATGGTTATATATCAAGACAACTAAAATGGTCCTTTTGTGTAGGCATATGCACAGACGGAGCTGCTGCTATGACCGGACGTCTATCTGGTTTAACTGCTCGGATTAAGGAAGTTGCACCTGAAAGTGAAGCTACACATTGTCTCATTCACAGGGAAGTGCTAGCAAGCCGAAAAATGTCACCAGAATTTAACAGCGTATTGATTGATATCGTTAAAGTTATTAACTACATCAAAGCACACGCCCTTAACTCGAGCCTGTTTGAGCAGCTTTGTGAGGAGATGGACTCAGAGTACAGATGCCTTCTGTTATACACAGAAATAAGATGGTTATCCAGAGGAAAATCGCTACTGAGAGTATTTAAATTGCGAGAGCCATTGCAAAGATTTCTCTTAGAAAAGAAGTCACCGCTGGCAGCACATTTCAGTGACAAGGTATGGGTCACTAAACTGGCTTACCTGTGTGACATATTCAACCTGCTGAATGAACTCAATCTGTGCCTTCAGGGGAAAATGACAACTGTTTTCAAGTTGGCTGACAAAGTAGCTGCCTTTAAAGCCTAACTGGAGTTATGGGGGCGACGCATGAACAGAGGCATTTTCGACATGTTTCAGACATTAGCGGGTATTTTAGGCGAGACAGAGCCTGAAGATTCATTCTCCCAGTTGGTTCACGATCACCTGTCTTTGCTTTTAAAAGAGTTCGAGCGCTACTTCCCAACCACAAAAGACCCACTAACTGGTAAGGAATGGACCCGCGACCCATTTGCCAACAAATCGGGTGAATCTAGCTTGTCAATGCAAGAAGAAGATCAACTGTTGGAAATTGCAAATGACGGTGGCCTTAAGACTACGTTCGAAACAACAACTCTGCCGGTGTTCTGGATTAAAGTCTTGGCAGAATACCCCGAGATTGCCACCACAGCACTTAAATACCTATTGCCATTTCCGACAACCTATCTGTGTGAAGCGGGATTTTCTGCAGTAACAGCAACCAAAACAAAGCAACGGAATAAACTGGAGATAAGCAACACACTTCTGGTATCATTGTCTCCGATTACCCCCAGATGGAGCCGTCTTATTGCAAAGAAACAAGCTCAGGGTTCTCATTGATGTAACGTTCAAGTAAGTTAAAATGTTAAATCACTTTCTTTTTTGGTGTAACTGTATTTTATTT